ATATACCCTCTTTGCGACACAGTTTAGGCACATCATCTCGGGTAGTCCTCACGTCACGTAAACGTCTGTAAACTCGGCATGACAGCACTTCAGGCACCCCTAAATAAATAATGGATAACCCGTTAACCCAAAATGGGCCGGGTTATTTTGACCATTGACCATCTCTCAACTGCAATCGAGTTCGTGTTTTTATATGTATAGGCCTACATATAAAAACAAACTTGTGTAATTTTTTTCTGCATGAGAGTGTATAATCGCTCGATTCCGTCGACTGCCATGCGGTGATTTTCTTAGTGGAGTATCTAAAATTCAATTCCAAGTTCAAGTTTCGGTCTGTTAAATTGAAACCTTCCACATAACCTTGATTCCGATAACTTACCTATCATGCAGAATGCAAGGAGAAACATCGACAACCACCCCATCTTCATGAAACCACGACCAATACAATTCGTAAAATACTACCAAACTGTTTCCTTCTGACAACCATATATAGCCAGGAAAGTGTGTTTTTAACCATAATAACAACCAGCCGGGATGTCACTGACTTGTACCGCGGCCGTCGACGTCACACGTCCTTCTAGAAATTCGAGCAAGGCACGAACAGGGCAGCCTGGGGCCGCGACCCATGGGGCCAATTGACTTTGATTCTTTTCAAAGAAGCTGTCTGGCCCGAGGATTGATGTTGTTTGCAAAACCTGTCAACTGAACTGTTATTCTGACTTAAAGTCAAGGTCAAGAAGCTTATGGGCTCCGTGCGCGAACAAGAGGGCGCCCTTTTACCTAGCAACGACCACAGACGCATAATGTCTGTGGCAACGACGTCCCATGGGCGGGACATTTAGCTGGTTGACGCGCACCTTTCCTTGTGTGACATACGTACACCAGGGGATTTGTACTATGTGCACTCAGTGGTACGGCCGCCGGCGCGTCGAGGCAAAATTGCTGTCAGGCAAGATGGCGTCGGTCGGTCACCCCCAACTGCACTTTCTTTGCCGGTGAGAGGGTACTTGTGAACGGAGCGGCACCAGATATAAGACTGATCGACGCTTTTCTCACGAATGTCGATATTTGAATTAACACCGGCCGCGCCCTGATTTGAACAACCCGAGACACTACTCAATTTGACGCTGTAGAGACGACACTTTTCTCTTATATTTATCCATATTTATGATAAAGCGTGCGGTTTAGGGAAGTCATCAAGATTCCTCTTCGTTTTAACTCAAACAACTTTAAAGTGAATACATGTGAATACCGTTTGCAAACATAAAAAAATCCATCATTATGAAATACCTTACCAGACTGTTGGTGAATGACCCAGTCAAAAGGATCCTTTAAATCATAGCTCCTGGAGTAGAGACATCTTCAAGAAAGTGGTATTTTTGCATTGCAGCCGGCCAGCATTGGAAAAAACTGGTTTAAATGTTGGCCCCCTAAAAAAGTCCACATTTTGGTTGCAATCGATTATGAACACCTATGAACAGGGGTTCAAGCCAGCTCACTGGCTCCCTGACTTTATGATTGCTCCATTTCATCTTAAGCGGGGTCATGGAACCAGACCACATAATATTGTTTTTCTTAGTTGTTCCAGTCAGTGTAAAAACATGTAATTGCTATAACCCCCCAATTACGTCAATTTACTTTTGGAAAATTACGGCAAACGCAAATTGGATTCCCTTTAAAATAGACACTTCCTTGGCGGGAAGTTGGACATTTCAGATTTTGGTTGGGGGCACCTGGGGGAACTGGGAATTTGTGGGGGCACAGCGGCCCCCCCCCCTCCCCCGGCTACCCCACTGCTAATCCCACAATTTGGGGGAAAACAGGGGTCGGGAACGGATCCAAAGGGCACATTTTGTAAAACGGGTTTTGGCCAGCCCTAGAAATGTTCTTGCCTACGGCATGCTAACTCGATTTTGTTTTATCTGTATATTTTGAATAATTAACTTGATGTATTCTAATTATTTCTACATAAACGACATAAAACAACAATCATCGTATAATCTGCTGTTCATAAACCCTTAACATTTATTTGACCGACTAGATACACGGTAAACACCTACTTATATTAATACTTGATACCTGCATAATGGCCAAGAGGTATAACATTATCTTCTAGAAAAAGGTAATCAAAAAAGCCTCAACATCATACATCGATACAAGTATCAACATTTCTGTACAATCCAAACAAGTTTGTGTTTACATTTTTAAGGCTACAACATAAAATCATCAAAACAAACTTATAATTGTTTGGTATACTAAAAACAAAATGTATGCGGAAAATCACCGGCACATCACCTACAAGTCCACATTGCCGAAATGTTGGTTTTGTTTTTTCAATGACATTACATTTTTCCAATGTCAAAGAATTAATTTCATCTGCATTTCGGACCAAATCATTTGTGAAACAATCTCCACTGTTTGTTGTTTGTTTTTGTTCGTTTTATTTGTTTTTTGTTCATTTATTAAAGTGAAAGTGCGTGTGTGTGTGAGAGAGTTATGATGAGTTTACTTACGAAGTTTTGAAATGCAGTTGTGTTTTAGAAGAAGGCCTAATGCATCTTTAAAAAAAAGGAAAAGGCGTATATGTGAAAATATATGTAAGATAATACGATGTCAAGTTGAAAAGATGTATTCGCCTCGCATGAGCAACGCTTGGTGCACTTTGTGGGTCCCTTTGCCAAACGCCCTCTACCGTCCAAAGTACGGGTTGACTGTATTGTAGTGACAGCCGCCTGGCACTGGATCGTAGTCGAACGTCTGTGCCATGAAAGCGCCCTCACCGGCCAGCAGGCATGAGACATAGGTAGTCGGTAGGCAGCCAATGCACCTAAAGCGGGAATTGAATAAAAATGGTGGTTTTTATATTATTTTTTTTAGAAAAGTTGTTGGAATTTGTTCTCAAATTTACATTACAAATGACATTACTCTTTGAATATACAGGGCACGGATTCGGATAAGAAAATAAAGATCGATCTTCACATTTCTTCGGATAGCAAATTTCTAGTTTCTACGACGTTTGTGTTCCTTAGGCCAAAAAAAAAAGTCTCCGGTTTCTGGTATGCGCGCGCGTCGCCGTAGCCATGCGCGTCGGCAAAATGAAAACGTTTTTTTTTCAATACAAGTTGATGTCTCAAAACCGCCAAACTCACTGGTTTGACTGGAATCCTGCTGCTGCACAATTTTAACGTGTTTTTAGATGGGGTTATGATCGAGAATAAACTTTATGTGGCCTCTGTGGACTCCCATATATTTGCACTAAGTTTAGTCGGGCACCATTTGCAGTCATCAGCCGACATTTGAAGCCCCCCCCCCCAAAAAAAAAACAGGTAAAAAAAAAAAAAAAGCCGCGTCGCCGCACCACTTTTGGGGCAAGCTCCATACCAGAAACCGGAGACTTTTTTTTTGGCCTTAGTAAGTCAGTTTGGGAAAAGTCAAGGCACAGCGAAGTAGATTATCCAGACAGAGAATTAGAAGGAGATCGGGCACCAGATGACAACCATGTACTGCTGATGCAGTGATGATCTTCAAAAGACTTTAAGTACAGATTCGCCACACAAACCAAATAACACTGTGTCTTATTCCTGGGGAAACTTTGTCGACATTTCCAACGTAGAAGTCTACATATCATCGACTTTAACTGATGACAATGTAAATTTTAGCATATGGGCAGCACATCTACAATCTCCAAATCCAATGATCAGACGATCGACTTCGGCTGATCAGATGACTTCGGCTGATCATCATGTGGAGCTAAAAATGTCCATCATCTTACCAAACAATCACGAAAATCAGGATCATATTGGCTCAGTACCGACTCTAATTTTAATAATCATTGCGATTTACGCCCTGCTAACATCGCGCTTAATATTTTACTCGACACGGCATAAGCATGACGTCTGAAACAGGCTTAAGGTGTCTTTGTAAAGTGGTTAATAACTTTGGCACTCCGCCAGTTTGTGTCCCTAAGCAAGCTCTACAGCCTCAATTGTACCTGCAGTAGTCATCCCTGCCGTCTTCGTTCACGTCCATCATGTACCACGTGTCCATGTGACCAGCATCGAACCAGGGCCCTGTGCTGTTGTAATTGAGGTCAGTGGGGGCGCCCTCCATCCCTGCCAGAGAGCAGGACAATAAATAGCCGCCGGTATTGCTGGTTACCAGTCTGTGAAAGGGAATCATTTAGTGGTGAATGACACTGAGTACCAGTGTTGTCAAATCCATTTAAAAAGTCCATTAAAAACAAAACAATCGCAAGTCCTTTCACAACTTCACAAGCCAAGTTGCAAGAAAATGGGGATGAACGAAAGCAACTTAAGGAGTGACTTTGTACTTGATCCTCACTGGGAATGTATTTTCTCTCACTGGAGAATATATTTGTGATGGACTTACCTTTGCCAATGGTAGAAATATCTTTACTTCGAAGTTGGATGATACATCGAGTAAAGTGAATCACTAGATGCGCAATCCCTACGTTTTCGGTCATTATTTGACATCACAAGAGCAGATCAAGCACGGTGACTCAAACGGATTGTATGTAGTTAAGAACTCACGGTGCTTAATTAACGGGAGCATAATGCGACAAACATCATGTAGCTGCAAACTCCAATACATGGTAACTTGCAGGCTGACAGAGTTTAGAAAGCCTACTGGTCCTACCTGCAGTAGTCGTTGGCGGCGCCCTGTCCCTGAACATCCACCCAGCCACGAAACAGCGAAGGAACACCAAGGTTGTGAGTGTCATAACGGCGTGGCTTGACGTTGGTCATAGTACCCGTTGTCTGGTTGGACTGAGGCGGAACAAAATCTACAAAGTCAAAAAAAAAGATTGATAGAACATGCCTACCCATCAATTTAAACATCGACATTGCGGAGAGAATTATTTGGCCAACCGATATAGATGGACGTGAGGATGAGTGTTTGGCTCGAGGTATCAAGAAAATTCACATGTATTTACTTTTTATCAAACCCAACTTCTACCAAACCCAAGCTTTGAACCCTACCTCCCAGGTAACAAGTAGCTCCATCATTATGGCTCGGCAGATCTTCACACGCCAGTTGCTCAGGCCACTGGAAGCCAAACTCAAGCAGCACCTCTGCGCAGCCATTCCTAGCCTCCTCACACAGTTCACGACAAGGCAGTACCGGGGCTGAGTAGCAACTATGTACATTGGTGTAAAACGGAATGATAGGTGTCAATCTCGTTTTCACAGTCACAGTCAACATTGTTCCCAGTGTTTTCTTTATATTCAACATCGAGACAGACCCTGGCAGGGTATACTTGCTTCCAGTATTCTAATTCCATCCAACAATAGCAGAGTGCCTCGATTTCTGGGAGACGCTCAATTGATTTAACACAATGCAATGGCTCATTTTTTACGTCAGCACCCTCCCCAAACATATTTACGCCACTGGCAGAATCTTGAGTTCTTCCCTACTCGTAGTACGTAGGCTTACCTGGGCAGGTACAAGGAACAGATGAAGCTGCTGAAGTGAGGCGAGCACCCGTTCTGAACGACTGGCGTAAATGTCACAAGCTGCATCTCAGCATCAATCACAAACTGGTGACCGAGACTATTGGGCATCGCAGTCTGGTTGTATCCCAAAGCAGACCGGCACCAGGACACACTGATGTCTTCGCATCGATCATTGGTCCCCACATCAAGCACAGGTGCGCCTGTAAGAAAAAAAAACAAGTTATGCTCAGCCTAGTATTGCCGGGCCCAACGCCCGCATATAATGTCCAAAGGAGAACGGTCATTTACTTGATGTTTTTTTTATGCATTTGGCCCATTACGGGGTAACCCTATACGATAGCACTGCCCGGCTCTCTTCACCAGCCAACAACTAGTCTAATTCACAAGTGATAGTTAGTCAGTCAGTTAGGTACAAAGAAGGCTGTAGGCCAGCCCTCCAGCACCAGCAAAAAAAGAGGTTTGGAAGCCACGTCACTGATGGGAGTAAGCCCGGATAGAAGTTATAGGCTATTTCAGCTGTCATTATTGTTCTCAAACATGAATTCCCTTTAAGCCAACAAGTTTTGGGCCATCTTACAGGAAGTTTGTATTCCGCTCCTATTATGCAGACAAGATGTAATGTGCTATTCCGATATAACAATACGACAAATGAAATTGAAGTGAGGTCGCGAAAGATATTGTCGATAACCCTCCACGATTCCCCACAAGCGACGAAGGGGGGGGGGGGGTGGTAATGAAAATACTAGTTTCAAATACGCAAGACTGAAGGGCTATATACATACCGCCTAAGTAACAGTCATTCTCTTCATCGTAGCTAGGAAAACTCTCACACCACAGACTTTCCGGCCATGAAAAGCCATAAGTGATCATCAGCTGTTCACAACCATCCCTCACCTGCACGCAGAGATCTCTACAGGGCATCAATGTGCGGCTGGATCCACTGGTACATCTACACAAGACGGAAATAGGCATTAATTACTATGAGTAGTCAACAGATTGAATTATTAATTACGTCTGGGTGATGCAAATTCAATATTGGGTTTTGCCCTTCAACGACGCATTTTTATAAACACTGTATATTCAGTGTTGTTTCGTAATTCACTGCCTTATGGAGACATGCAACATGTAGGGAACATGTACAAAAGATTGTATACCGTCAGCAACACCACGTGCACGAAGTAACACCCATGTACATTCCAGTACAAACTAGCAAGCGGAGAAAACGGCATCTAAAGTTGAACGCCTTCTAAAACAACTCTGTGCGTCAAAACGGCAGAGTATTATCAGTTGGGTTTCTCGTTGTGGACACTTGATGAATTGAATTTATTAAATCTACAGTTTTTCACCCGTTTGTGTATTAAATCAACGAGAAATAACAGAAAAAATAGGTGAGTGTTATAGTTCGTGAAACCGAAAAAGCTGCGAAACTGTACATTTTCGTTTTCACGAATTAGCACGCTTCAATGTATAAGGAAATTGCAACTTCAGGTCAGCGCGCGCGCGCTCATACAAGAAGAGTGTTACTTTGTAAAAACGTTTTTGCTCGCATTTGAGCAGAGTGCGCGCCGTGCATTACAATGGTAGATGGAACTTGAGTGTTACTTCGTGAAAACGAAAATTGTCACTTTTGCGCAAAAGTTGCCATGGATGATTAGCGTAATTATTAAAGTAAACCTCTTGAAGCTTTGAAACTTCGTGCAATGGTAGCCCTTTTTGAATAATGTTTAAAAAAGTAAACTAAAAATCGAAAAAAATATCGTTTAACACGTGAAGTGTTACTTCGTGGTGTATTACGTCTCCAAAGGGCAAGTTATGTAGGTGAATACGTCTCCACAACGTTATCACGAAGTAGATACATTGATTTTACTCAAAAACTAGGAATTTCCAAGGTGTGTTGATTCGTCGCAAATTGAAGTATTTTATGAAAGAGATATAGTTAAATCCGAATTTCAGCCCAGGAAATTAATTCTGGCTAAAATAGGAGCATTTTGAAACTATATTTTCACATTCTAAAATGTTAGTACATGAGAACAAAGAAATGACTCCACGAGAATACAAATTCCAGTAGGGCTGCCACCGAGTGATTATGAAAAACAAATCACTCGGTGGGACTCGAACCTACGACCTCCTACTTTCTAGTGCAGACGTCTTACCACTCGCCCGCCGAGCTTGCTGGTACATTGTGGAGCCCGCTGCTATATCAGATTCGAACCAGCCAGCCAGCCGATCCCGGCTAACTCGTTGGTCGAGTGGTAAGACGTCTGCACTAGCAAGCAAGAAGTTGTGGTATTTATGCGTGATAATGACCGGGTTGGGGGATGATCAATGGCCTTCTGCTCGGTCCATTAACAGCGGCCATGCCCAACCTGGTCATCATCACGCAGTGAAGACCAATCTTACCTAGGAGTGTAAATGGCACACAGGAACGTCTTGAGGTAGTCGGAGCAATTAATTTCCACCAAAGGCCAGAATTGGTGAATCTCAAGAACAGCCTCATCCTGGGTTAGGTGACCTAGACTATTCGGCATGGCGGTCTGCTGGTAGTCTAAATCCGACTTGCACATCGGGACAGTGATTTCTTCACAACCCGTTCCAGTGTCGGGAATACCTGATAACGAGCAAGCCGATATCAATCATGATTCCATCAAAGGGGAATCAACCACTTTTCAAACATTGTTCGTCCTTTCACAAATACACTGAAAGACAAATGGGCTGGATACAATTTCTCCAAGTTCGAGGATAACTATTGGACGTTCCAGCTTACACGATAAACAGCTCGTTTAATGAAGCAATGCAATACAAACACAAATCTATTTATTGGTTTTATACCAGAAACACATCATTGACAGGAAAACAAAATAGGTGGAAAATGCGTATTTTTTGCAATGCGAGATGCGGCTGAATTGTTTGCAAAATTTGCATCAAAGTTGATTTTAAGACCATCAACATTTTGGGTGGGAGGGGAGGGGATTTGGAGAATCAAAATCGAAGTGAAGTGAGGGCGCTAATGACATTGTCAAAAACCCTCTACGGTTCCCCACAAACGACGAAGGGGGGTTGGGTGGTAATGAAAATATATACATGTACTAGCTTCAAATACGCAAGACTGAAGGGGGGGGGGGTGAAAATGAAAAATGCTAGCTTCAAATACATGAAACTGAAGGCCTATACATACCGCCTAAGTAACAGTCATTCCCTTCATCGTAGCTGGGGAAATTCTCACACGTCATACTTTGCGGCCACGAAAAGCCAAATTTGTTCATCAACTCCTTGCAACCGTTCCTCGCCAGCACGCAGAGATCTCTACAGGGCAGCTGTGTGCCTCCGGAACCACTGGAACATCTGCACAAGACGGAAATAAGCATGAATTACTGGAAGCATTTATAAAATAAGATTGAATTATTGCGTCGGAGTGATTTAAATTCAATATTGGATTTTGAACCAGCTTCAAATCAGCCAGCCGATCACCGGCAAGCTCGGTGGTCGAGTGGTATTGTAAGCTAGGAACATGGGCGTCGCCAGGATTTTTTCTAGAGGGGGGCAAAAATTTTTTTTGCCAAAAAATGCTTGTATTTCTCAACACATTTTCGATTTATCAGTTTTAGAGGGGGGCAGGGACATTTTGCCCCCCCCCCCAACTCATTAAATTTACAACACTTTGTCTTTGCGCCTCTTTTTCTTTTCTTTTTTTCCCTTTTTTTTCTTCTTCTTTTTTTTTTTTTTTTTTTTGCTTTTCCAGGGGGGGGCAAGTGCCCCCCCTTGCCCCCCCCCCCCTCGCGACGCCCATGGCTAGGAAGCAGGAGGTCGTGTGTTCGGGTCCCACCCGAGTGATTTATTTTCTCACAATCACTAAGGGGCAACACTGAGTGCAAAACCCAATATTGCAATTAGTGGAAGGGTGTTAATAATTCGCAAGTTTAAGGTAAAAATTATTCGGTAACTAATTTGCAACATTTTAAAGTTTATTTCGTTTAAAAGGGTATTTGTTAGTGGGAATACATATGTGAGAACCGGTGATAATGACCGGGTTGGGGTGGTCAATGTCCATCTGCTCGGTCCATTAACAGCGGCCATCCCCAACCTGGTCATCATCACGCAGTGAAGACCAATCTTACCTAGGAGTGTAAATGGCACACAGGAACGTCTTGAGGTAGTCGGAGCAATTAATTTCCACCAAAGGCCAGAATTGGTGAATCTCAAGAACAGCCTCATCCTGGGTTAGGTGACCTAGACTATTCGGCATGGCGGTCTGCTGGTAGTCTAAATCCGACTTGCACATCGGGACAGTGATTTCTTCACAACCCGTTCCAGTGTCGGGAATACCTGATAACGAGCAAGCCGATATCAATCATGATTCCATCAAAGGGGAATCAACCACTTTTCAAACATTGTTCGTCCTTTCACAAATACACTGAAAGACAAATGGGCTGGATACAATTTCTCCAAGTTCGAGGATAACTATTGGACGTTCCAGCTTACACGATAAACAGCTCGTTTAATGAAGCAATGCAATACAAACACAAATCTATTTATTGGTTTTATACCAGAAACACATCATTGACAGGAAAACAAAATAGGTGGAAAATGCGTATTTTTTGCAATGCGAGATGCGGCTGAATTGTTTGCAAAATTTGCATCAAAGTTGATTTTAAGACCATCAACATTTTGGGTGGGAGGGGAGGGGATTTGGAGAATCAAAATCGAAGTGAAGTGAGGGCGCTAATGACATTGTCAAAAACCCTCTACGGTTCCCCACAAACGACGAAGGGGGGTTGGGTGGTAATGAAAATATATACATGTACTAGCTTCAAATACGCAAGACTGAAGGGGGGGGTGAAAATGAAAAATGCTAGCTTCAAATACATGAAACTGAAGGCCTATACATACCGCCTAAGTAACAGTCATTCCCTTCATCGTAGCTGGGGAAATTCTCACACGTCATACTTTGCGGCCACGAAAAGCCAAATTTGTTCATCAACTCCTTGCAACCGTTCCTCGCCAGCACGCAGAGATCTCTACAGGGCAGCTGTGTGCCTCCGGAACCACTGGAACATCTGCACAAGACGGAAATAAGCATGAATTACTGGAAGCATTTATAAAATAAGATTGAATTATTGCGTCGGAGTGATTTAAATTCCATATTGGATTTTGAACCAGCTTCAAACCAGCCAGCCGGTCACCGGCAAGCTCGGTGGTCGAGTGGTATTCTAAGCTAGGAAGCAGGAGGTCGTGTGTTCGGGTCCCACCCGAGTGATTTATTTCCTCACAATCACTAAGGGGCAACACTGAGTGCAAAACCCAATATTGCAATTAGTGGAAGGGTGTTAATAATTCGCAAGTTTAAGGTAAAAATTATTCGGTAACTAATTTGCAACATTTTAAAGTTTATTTCGTTTAAAAGGGTATTTGTTAGTGGGAATAAATATGTGAGAACCGGTGATAATGACCGGGTTGGGGTGGTCAATGTCCATCTGCTCGGTCCATTAACAGCGGCCATCCCCAACCTGGTCATTATCACGCAGTGAAGACCAATCTTTAAGGTAATACCTAGGAAGGTACATGGCACACAGGAACGTCTGGAGGTACGTGGAACAATTAACTTTCACCAAAGGATAGAACTGGTGAATCTCAAGACCGGCGTCATCCTGGGTTAGGTGACCTAGACTATTCGGCATGGCGGTCTGCTGGTAGTCTAAACCCGACTTGCACATCGGGACAGTGATGTCTTCACAAGTCCTTCCAATGTCGGGAATACCTGATAACGAGCAAGCCGAAATATCGATCATGTTATTCCACCAAAGGGGAAGTAAATCTACCAATTTCCGACACTGTTCGTCCTTTCACAAACACACTGAGACACAAATAGGCTGGATACAATTTTCTCCAAACTCGAGGATAACTTTTGAAATTACCAGCTTTCATAATAAAAAAGAAATTGTTAAATGAAGCAATGCAATACAAGCACAATTTTATAGTCCAGTGGATATGTGACAAAATATTGATGAATTGTGCACTTGTGCATAAAAGCGTGAAACTTGGCACAGATGTTCATATTCATGCCAGAACATGTTTTAGATGTGAAGCCATCGCAAATTCACCCTTTTAGGGGCGTGGCATCCATTTAGAAAAAGGGGGGCGGGACTCATCATGCCCGCAGTGAAAACGGTTGCTCCCACTTGTCACAAAAGCAGGAAACTTCACAAAGACATAATTATAAAGATTATAAGTGTTTTCCAGATGTGGAGCCGCCACAAAAGTACCTTTTTGGGGGCGTGGCAGCCATTTAAAAAAGGGGGGAAATTATTATGCCCACCTTGGGAAAAATTGTGACCACATTTTATGAACGAATAAAACGTCCCACAGACGCTTATATTCATGAGAAAAAAATCCAGATGTGGAACCATCTCGAACAAGCCCTTTTAGGGGCGGGGCAACGATATTGAAAATAATGGCTTTTTAAAATGGCTGACACGCCCCAAAAAAAGGTGCTTTTGTGGTGGCTCCACATCTGGAAAACACTTATAATCTATATAACTATGTCTTTGTGAAGTTTCCTGCTTTTGTGACAAGTGGGAACAACCGTTTTCACTGCGGGCATGATGAGTCCCCCCCCCCCCCCCCTCAGGTTTTTATTTTATTTTATTTTTTACAGTTTTACGCTTTGATGCAAAAGTGCACAATTTTTTCACATATCCGCTGGACTATCAGTGGTGTTAATTTAAACCAGAAACACGTTAATGACAGGAAAACACTGAATTGTGTGCTAAATTGGGGGGGGGGGATTTTTTTAAATCTTACCCTGAAACGCCGGTACTCTTAAAACCGTTCCAGGACCATTCCCGAAGTTGTTCAAGGCGGCAACTTCAAATTTGAAGGCCTCTGCACTCATCAGGTCAGTGATGTTCAACGTGTGGTACGATCGGCTTCGGGGGGTGGTGAAAAAGGCTTCCCCCCACGATGCGGTGTCGTTGTAGGTGACGCGAAATGCCTCCGTTCTGGAGCCTTCCTTAGGCGGAGTATAGAGGATGGAGACGCTGGTCGCGTTGAGCCTGGTGCCGTTGACGATCATAGGCTGGTCCATCGGTGGATGCAGGTCTGCGTTGAGCGGGTCCAAAGGCAAAAGTGAATAAGATGGGAAATAAATACGATGCTTTCAGTTTATGGAAATTTAATCTGTCCTTTTACCATGGTTGAACAATGAGAATTAACCAAATCTGTGCTTATTATTATTTATAATAATTCGGTTACCGTAATAAAACCAAGGATGACTTATTACGTAGCTTGCAAGCCTGATGAAACATGTATACAAAGACAATGAAGAAAGTTTGGTTGTAGAGGTGGAGGGAAAACCAATAGAAACGTCCCACGGGAAAACCCACAGGATCTTAGGAAAACCTATGCAACCGAAAACTCAATCCACATGTGAACCTGTGCGGGAATCGAACCCGGGCCATAAAGATGGATGGCGAGGAAAGAACAACTGAGCCCATTATAAAAAAAAAATCAGGCTTCCTAAATCTATTTAAAAGCAGTACAGGATTGTATTCTAAACTTTAGCTGGAGTGTTAGATAGATACTTCAGTACTTCGGAAAATTTGGTCTAAAAAGTCCTTATTTGCAAGAGAAATGAAAACGTATTAGATATCAAATAGGCTATTATAATTATAACTTACAGGACAGGCATGCGCCTTTCTTCTCTGATTGAAAGTTCTTGCTGCAGTCAAACTCCGGTGTGCGTTCGATGCGAAGCTGGCGGGCGGTGAGCCGGCAATCACGCCATACGGCCCGGCAGACTTCGGAGCAGGGCCGCAGGTAGACTTCCTTGTCGTGCAGCCCATAGCGGACCAGATCCAGTCGAGGGAGGTGGGCCGTGCACAGGAACCGACCAAAGGTGTTAGAACAGCCAGAGTCTATCAGACCTGTGGAGAATAGATTAAGACGAAGTCTCCTAATTTGTATTTCATTTATTTTCTTTAGTTCTCCATGTATGTTTCGTTGCCGATATTCTTTCGAGGACTTTGTTATTGTTTGTTTTTGGCCGATGATTTCGTGTAGGCCTACTAATCATATTTCGAGCTTTCATTTGATTTCAAGTTCTCTTTTTTCCCTTACAGTATCGTATTCATTTTTATGTGATGCGGAACAAGAAATCTATGGACCTTTTATTTTAGGCCATATCTCTGTCTTTGCTCTAATATGGCGGGGAAAAATATTATAATAAATCGAAGATTTCATATTAAACGTCCAAATAATGTCACTGCTATTTCTTAGACATGTTCTCCTTCTTGTAGCTGTGCATTGTGAAATGCCCATTCCTCGTCCAGAAACTGTTAGACGCGGCTTAATCCATGCCTGACAGTATATATACAAATTTCTATCCGAAATGAAATGAATTTGGGAGTCAGGTTGGCGTAGCGGTACTTTCCTCGCCTTCCACTCTAGTGACCCAGAATCCAAGGGCGGATCCGGGGGGGGGGGGGACAAAGGGGGCCATGGCCCCCCCAAAACGAAACCAATTTTTTTTTTTTTTAATGTGACATCGCAATAAAGGCAGGCAATGAGTACACCACCATCTTTTCCTCAAAAAAATTGGTTAAAGTGGTCAGAAATTGCCTCAGATCGCACCACAGAGCATCTAGAATCCAAAAAATTTTCGGGGCCCTCACGGGCCCCGAACCCCACGCCGTAATTTTTTAGACCCACTTTTTTGGGGGGGGGACCAAATTTTTTTTTGGCCCCCCCAAAATTGTGTTCTGGATCCGCCCTTGCCAGAATCCCGCTTGGGCCAATATGTTGATTTGGTTTTCAGTCCCTATCTGATTCCGTGGGTTTTCCCAAAAATATTCTTCTGGGCTTTTCCTCCCGCCTCTGAAACTTAACTGTAACTTCTTCTCGTTGTCTTCTCTCTACAGGTTTCTTCAGGCTTGCAAGTGCGTAGGGCGCTTTTGAGGAATCCTTGGTTTCATTACCAAAAATGACTATTAATAATAATTAATAATGCCCCGAAAGCTGCGACTTCGATCTCTCCATGCCAAACGCCGAGGGCCACAGTAATAAGTAAATTAAATATGAAAAAAAGGAACCGGCGATCGTCTTTAACCCACTTTAAAACTTGTTTTAGGCCTAATAAATAGGCTTACTTCCAGTAAATTTCTTTCTTACAAAAAAACCAACAATGCAATTTAATCATATAGAACTTAAGGGCCATATAGGTATTGGCTTGAAGGGGAGTGGGTGCACTTGCGACAAAATAACGTCAAAAGGGTCCACCCCACATCCCGATTTCGATTTTTTTTGTATGTGCGAGTGCATGCTACCCCCCCCCCCCCCCCCCGAAAAAAAAATGGGACAAAATATGAGCAAACTTTATAAATGCAGTGCATTACTTGCTGTATGAAAACATGTATTCATATATGCGAAAAATAGGTCTGATAGTTTTAAGCATGGGGCAGCAGTTACTGTGCTCCTTCTACAGTAAGCTATTCCTTCTTACGGGTGACAATGATTTATCGAGTTATTTTTATGCTAGATTGGGCCTAAGTCTGCATTATTATTTTATTGTAAGGCCGTATCTCTGTCTTATTATTATTTACTTATTTAAGGATTATTATTTACCTAATTTATAATACATGTATTCAGATTGTGTATTTCATGCTCATTAAAAATGGAAATAAATAGCAATCGGGTTATGAATATATGAATACATTTATATTATTTACCTATTTACTGATTATTATTTACCTGTTTTATAATATATGTACATGTCTTCAGATTGTGTTTCTCATAGGTTTACCTTGCAACTGCTCGATGCTGTCGCGTAGGTTCACACTGAACCCGCTCGGCGGCGCATCCTCGTAAGCCAGAATACCCTCATTGAGGCACAGTTGAGGCACGCCAGACGACGATAGGGTAGGAGTACCGTCCACGTAGGTAACGACTTGAAATTAAACAGTAATAAGAGATAAGGTTATTTTTGAAGACATGGTGTATCTCCACCAAGGCGGGTGATAATGCCCTGCTCAACCCCCATCCCCGTCACCGTTTTATGCTGTATTTATCCGGCAGGCTTACTCTCTTAGATTTTTTTTTTTAAACAATCGAAATGTATTGCAAAGTGGGAAATGTTAGATTGTGCACCGGGACATTATTCTTTACTGACAGTGATAAGTAATTAAAACAACATTATTTGTAGGACAGAATTTGCGTCGGGAAGATTTTGTGCCGTGCCCTTCAGTAAACAGTTTGGCTGGGGTACTTGCCCCTAACAGATTCAAACCAGTCAGCCTCGGAAAGCTCCGTAGCCACGAGTAACTAGTAAGCAGAAGGTCGTGCGTTCGAGTCCCACCCCGAAGCGGAGTAGGCTTGTGTGTTGGTTCTGTTTTTGGCAACACTCGGACAACACTGAATATACTGACCAATCCGAGCACGCTATCAATTCTAGCACGGAAGCCCCTTTCATTTGAGCTTAATTTCTCCCTAAGATGGCATTTATATTTGCTCATGAATGTTACAATTCTTATCAGTCAATACCCGTCCCCATTCCCTGATTTGACGAATACAGGTCAGCTCGTACGCGACCAACTCGTACGCAGGACAACTCGTACACGGACAAACTCGTACGCGGGCCAACTCGTACGCGTAATAACTCGTACGCGGACCTACTCGTACGCGAGCCAACTCGTACGCGTGAGTATAGACTAGACTGAAACCGTTTCCTCCATGGTTCGGGCGTGTAGGAAATTAGGGTCGGTCAGTTGTCGGCACATTCTTTTTTTTCTTAAGTTAAGGGGATAATTTTGTGTTACTGAGTGGTCCCAATTACATGTAGTTCAGTTTTAAATCGGCTGTTTTTGCTCATAACAAAAAAGTTATGATTTGTTTTCCCGGACCACTCGCACACTGTCGATGTCTGATCCTGGCTCACACCGTACGCTATACGACAAGATATTGCCACGTAGTGAGAATTTAAATCGTATAATGTCCGCTGCATTTGTAGACTTCCAACAATACATTGCTATAGTGGCCCCGCGCTATGTCTAAATCAAATCGTTGTACGTCTTGACAAATTCTCCACACTAGCTGCGTGGTTGGAAGCGCATGCCGCAGCATTGCACTACACATCGGTCGCAAAAAATGGATCATGTTTTTTTGTATCATTGAAACTTTTGAACTTGACATCGTTGCATTTATGGAATTTAAACTGTTGAAAATACATATGGCTACAATCATAGTTATTCAGTCATACAATCGTAATGTGTACTGTGATAAATCGATAACTTTGGCGTGTGTTTTGGGGTAAACTTTTGGCGATCGTAAACATCTTTCAATTTAAATTTGCTTATTTCGGTCCGCGTACGAGTTGCCTGGCGTACGAGTTGGTTCGCGTACGAGTTGGTCCGCGTACGAGTTGTCTTGCGTACGAGTTGGCTGGCGTACGAGTTGGCTGGCGTACGAGTTGTCTCGCGTACGAGTTGACCAATCCGCGTACGAGTTGTCTCGCGTACGAGTTGGTTCGCGTACGAGTTAACCTGTTTCCGATTTGACACAACCTTGGACACTAGCTTAATTTCTCCCTAAGACGGTATTTCTATTTGGCTCATGAATATTTAAATTCTTATCAGCCAATACCCGTCCCATGCCCCGATTTGAAACAACCTTTGGGGCACAAAGGTGCTCTCATCCACATTATGATAGGATGGCAGCAGTGCGCGCAAATAATGAAACGATTAAGGATGCATACATCACTGCACATAGCAAAAGCATCTATTTTTTTCAGCGCAGTAGATAAGATGAGACAATCGTAATGGCAATCATAGTACAAAAATACCTTCAGATCATGGAGGATTTTATTTTACATATAGACAACCAAGGTGAAGAGAAAGTATGTTTATCGGCGAGTGTGTTCTGTCGCCGGGTGCATCTAATTCTACCTCCATGGTTATGTTATGCTCCGTGATTCCATGACGTGGAGAACTTACCTATCATACAGAGTTCAAGAAGAATCACGAACAATCGCCCCATCTTGATGAAAGCACGCACGAGTGTTGTATGAAACGCTGGAAAATAAACCTAGCGATGTCAAATTTGTTATCACGGCCTGGGGTTTGTTACCGTTAAGCCGCTGCCAAGCATGTAAATGTCACTGAATTCTACTGGACTACACAATATAGCTCACTTGTAGAATGCCGTCGTCGTCTTGACAAGTTCTTACAAGTTCAGGCGTGAGGCAATAAAACCCGAGGAGCGCGACCCGTACCATGGGGCCAATCAGTCACAATTGTCCAATAGCTTGAGTTGCAAGTTGTTTACCCCTGAGCTGCCTGGCCCAGGGATCTATATGTTGTTTACAAACTTGTAAACAAAGTCCTGTTTGTTATTATGGCTGAGACCTTTAAGGCATCTTGTGTAAATAAACAATGACATTCCAACACCTTGTTTGTTTCGATGCATCTCAAGGTTTTTTTTACAGTTAGTTATTGCTTAATACGTGAAAATTCAACGTAAAGCTAACTCCAGATCCGTTGTCAGATTGGTTCATGCCCCACTCGGTCCTGTTCAATAAAGTTGTTGCTGTGTAATAACGTAACTTTTTTTTTTAGCTTTTTGTTCCATGCTTTTAAGTGGTTAATTTTGCCACTGCCAAACTTGCCCTAAATTTGTTAGTTCTGTATTTTTATGTTTTTATGAATGTGTGTTGTTTTATTAACTATTGCTCTGTTCACAGATTTCATAATATTTATTCCGTATTCCCTTTTAGGATTGGATTGATAGGCTTTCGAGTCATAGTGTTTAAGTTCACTTTTATTAATCTTGGCCATCTTAATTTGGGTTTTTTTTCTGTTCTTGTTTTGTCTTATTCTGTAACAACCTTGCCTTTTATCATTAATTTGCTGCCTTTATTCATAGCTCCTTGCTTGTTTCATGACTTCTTATACTTGTAATCTTGTCTCCTCTAGAGTTACACTGCCATATTCTCTGTATGTTTGTTGCAAATCTTGGCCGAATAAATGATAATAAAATAATAATAAGTGAATTGACACTGTTCCAAGCTAGGATGCCAACTTGCTCGTTCTATAACCTGACGTAGAACTTGCCTGACATCACACTCACGCCTGCAAAACGAAAGCGGCCCGGTGACTTTTAGAGGTTACCCAGGTTAATAGTGAGCCATCATTAAAATGATAACTCCATGGTACGAGGCGGTACGGTTGGTTGCCATGGTATTATTTACGTCCGTACTCTGCATGCAGAATGCAGATGTTCAATTTACATTTTTTCCCCCCAAAATGGGAACGCCTTCCTCTTGCCTGTTTACCTCCTCTGGTGACGAAATTGAATGATGACTTTCTCGGTGCCGGATGTTCATGAAAAAGTGTAGATCCTGATTGGGGGTAGTAAGTTTAATCCTATGAAGGAAAACGTGGTATAGTCGCCCCAATAGCGATATGCATTATATCTCAACATTTTGAAAGTCTTCACAAGTTTTCAGGTGTCCGCGTGCCTACTCTTGGAGGGGTATCGCGGCTATCGCCGCGTATGATTCAGTACGCTCCCACAATTTCCTTGCATGCTCCATGGTATTAAATGCAACATTGGCTGGCTGTCATCTTTACTTGTTCCTAGATCTGTGATTGTAGTTTTGAACATGGTTTATGGCTCGTCCAAGGATATCTGACAAGTTCCGGGGTCCAATTAATTAAGTTGCGCAACTTTTGGGCATACCTCAAGGGTGGCCGCGTCTGCACAATAAATAAACTGAACCTGTCGACCTTGGTGCCGGCGTGTATATGGCATTAGGCAGGGCTGGTGCTGATGAGAAGAGGAACGGGTGGCACTGACTGGTTTCAGGATTTCATTCTTCCGTGCATGTGCAGAGAAGAGCCGATCCGAACGTTTTCCCTCCTCAGTTTCGACTGCTTCTCAAAAGTGGCCAGGAACCCGAGGCCAGGATGCCTTCTTTGATTTGGCGACTTGTGTTGGCCATCTTCCTGACGGCTCGCCAGAACTTCATTGAAGCCGGCCAGGTATCAGGTTAGTTTACGCACGTACCTCATGGCATGGAGTATACTTCAAGGCTCTGTGCAGGCGGGAACTTCAAGTAGAACATGGTGGGGTACAGTTTGGGTAGGCATATGTTTTGGAGCATAGCCCATGTTCAAACCAGCATTCCCCCTGCTTTAAATGGCGATAAGTTCAGTGTCATGAGCCTCATACCGAGTAGTTTCCAAGCAGGCTAGCCTACCTCACTGTCCATGTATGAAGCTTAGGTACAGATTCGTTCAAAATTTTTGGAAAAAAATCGAAATGACTATATAGGCCAACACAATTTCATTTTGAATAAGCGCCAGCCCCTGACGTGATGTTGCTCACGGCTTTACAATCTGGCTGTCGCCATTGAACTTAAGGCCTTCGGGACACAGACTCGTTAAACGTATCAAAATTAATGGCACGCTTTATCCTGAAGCCCATTGGCCTTAAGTTTAATGGCGAAAGCAACATTGTAAAAGCCGCTGTTTTTCAGATAATAATTCAGGGGGCAGTTTGTAATTGTACAGGGTGAGTAAAAAAACCGAAAACGAAATGTCGGGACTATTGTTTTATTGAGGTACTGCATGTAGCACTTTCAAAATCTAGGATATAAAAGCCCAATTCATAAGCTTTCTTTTAGTACAAAAATTATTCAAATCACTTACGTACTTTTTAAGTTACGGAATTTTAAACACAACCACCGTTTTCAGCAAAACGAAAACAATCCACACACATCCCTATGTGATTTGTTTTCGTTTTGCTGAAAGAACACTTACCTTCTTGTGATGTGATCCGTGGACAGAACTGTGAAACGGTGGTTGTATTTAAAATTCCGTAACTTAAAAAGTACATGAGTGATTTGAATGATTTTTGTACTAAAATAAAGCTTATGAATTGGGCTTTCATATCCTAGATTTTGAAAGTGCATGTGCAGAACTTCACTAAAACAATAGTCCTGAAATTTGAGTTTCGTTTTTTTTACTCACCCTGTAGTTTGGGTAGGCATATGTTTTGGGGCATTTAGCTCCATGTTAAAACCAACATTCTCCCTGCTTTAAATGGCGAATTTTAGTGTCATCGTGTCATGAGCCTTAAGAACCGAGTAGTTTCCAAGCTATAGCCTACCTCATGTCCATGAAGCTGAGGTACAGATCCGTTCAAAATTTTGGACAAAAAAATCGGGATATAGACTTATTATACGTACCCAAATTAATGGCACGCTATATCCCGAATTTCATTGGCCTCAAGTTCAATGGCGAAAGCAACCTTGTACAAGCCGCTTTTTTTCAGATAATAATTCACGGGGCAGTTTGTAATTGAATGTGATATCGGACCGAGCGCAACCCAGACTTGGCCAAGTCTACACCGGCCGTAGTCTGGGTAGCGAATGTCTTTTCCGTCAGTAGGTGGGATGCTCCAAAGTCATAAATAATTTCATAGTCTCGACCGCGCCAATATGTTTATTCCTCAAACACCACAATGATATCAAGAGCAGAGTTGTTATTTAGTCAACCAAGGATACAGACCAGTAATAAACTGCCACAGACCCCAATAATAAATGTTCCCACTTATGAAAAATACTCACAACTCTCTGAGGTGTTCGAGACAAAGCTTATTTCATCGTCTTTTATTTTCTGTTCAATTTTTTGTTTTGGTAATCAAATGACTTTTGGGGAAAATTGCCATCCAACGATGATTACCCCATAGAATAGTCCTATAAAGTCCATCGCCATTTTTGAAAACAATGACTACGTTCCATTGCAAAAAAAAGAAGAGCACTTTTACTTTTTCCCAATTTCATCAAAATTTCACAGAATCACAGAAATACAAGCTCACAGCCCCGGCCCCGTGCACGGCTTCCACCCTTCTTTTTTTTGTTCTGGCCCCAATAAGGCGTTTGAGGGCATGCAAATCGTGATTTGGCAGGCGCAGGCAATTTTGGGCCTATTTACATTTCTGCACCCTTAAAGAGAAGATACAACATTTGCAAACATCAAAAAACGAAATGATCGAATTATCACGAAATAACTTACTGGATTGTTAGGTTATGACAGTTTAAAGCATCCTGTAAAATCGTAGCTCCTAGTGTGCTGACGAGCTCAAGAAAGCTTGTATTTTCCAACGCTGGTCGGCCGACCAGCGTTGGAGAAAACTGGTTTTTTTTCATATTTAGTTAGTCTGCATTTTCTTTGCAATTGATTACACGCCTGTGAAGGGGTACAAGCTTGCTAGACCAGCCTCGTCCCCAGTGCTAACTTTATTTCCAACCTCGTTTCCAATAGTAAGCCCTGGTAGGAAACTTTCTTCCTGTATCCTGATTCGATACCGAAATTGGCTCGAAATGGATTTATATCGTGTACTTGGTGTAGTTATTCACAACGTGTAGTACGTGTTTTCGCGATCACTCGTCCAAGCCTTCCCGAAAATATTCGTTTCCTTTCCAATTTGTTCATATTAATATAAAATGTGAAACTACATAAATATTGTTTCGTTAAGATCGTAACAGTTTAATTAAGATAAATCGTGTTTTCGTAACTCACGCCGTGCTTGCGCTGCGACGAATTGATTTGTGTTTATACCCCCAAAACAAACGCAACTCCGCACAGGCAGGTGTGGAAGGTAATTCTGTCCCCCGGTAAAAGTGTCCGGGGGGACAGAATTACCTAGGTAAAAGTGTCCTCCCTGGCCCGTTAATTCTGTCCCCCTCCAGGTAATTCTGTCCCCTCCAGGTAATTCTGTCCCCCAGGTTTTTAATCCCCCTCTTTTGAAACTCGGAAGGTTATTGTTTTGATGAATTCACTCTACAAGGTATACATTCAGTTTAGTCTGCCCTTCATGAATATAAAAAATATTTAATTTAGTCTATTAGGTGATACGTGAACACAATGTTTCGATTCGGAGTACGGTGAAGTCTATCGCGATTCTACCGCGATAGGTCAACACAGCGGCGATGCATGGCGATGGCCCTCGTCTCATTGATAGTATGATACAACGTCTCCTTGGATTGGTCTGTGTTCCCGTCATAGCGCGTAACGAAATTTCCTATTGGACGAATTTCCATTGTAGAGGGAGACGCATATGTACACATGTTATAATCACTGCCTCAAATCTTGCAGCATGTACTGGTGCGTGCGACACGCTGCTGCTCTCAGTACATACTGCATGGGGACACATTTACCAGGGGGACACTTTCACCGTTGGGCAGGGGAAACATTTTTACCTGGAGGGGGACAAATTTACCTAGGTAAAAGTGTCCCCCCGGACACATTTACCGGGTCACGAGTCGGTAAATGTGTCCGGGGGGACACATTTACCAGGGGGGACAGAATTACCTGTCACAGTGAGAGAGCAGGTAGTGGTGGGCGCGTACTGCTCGACACCCTGGGGACGAGGTTGCTGATAGACTGATCTCTGACCATTCATCTTAAGTGGGGTCAGGGAACCAGACTACAGAAACATGATTGGTTTTCTTGGTTTTTCCCAGCATCTGCCCTAAACGTGAAGCAAGTCAGTTTAACATTATGTCCTATAACATACTAATCCTCCAAATCCATTATTTCTGGAAATTGCAGCAAAAGCAAATGTTGTACATTCCCGGACGTCATCAAGCTAGTCGATAGCGAGATATAGATGTGAGCGATTCCATATGAGCTGGATACAAAGATCGATCCCTGGTTTCGAAGGGGTCCGCTCATAAGTCCGACGCCTCATAAGTCCGACAAAATCGCATCCCCAACCAAATAAAGGCTCGCCTCGTACGCTTCGTTTTTCCTACGTCGGACTTTATGAGGCGTCGGACTTATGATACGGCCCCGGTTCGAAACCACGTTGTCGCTGCTCTCATTCATAGACTATTTTTCTTCTCTGAATTATTTTTCTTCTCTAAGGGAAAGGAAAACGAGAACTGAATAATGCATGATATTTGAGTAACCCACCTTCAGTGGAAGAAAATCGCGGTCGGGTGGTCTGTTCGCGATTTTTCACTCCAGTTTTAATCAGCAATGTCTTGTCTAGCTTAGCAAAATAATCTGTTAATGATTAGTATATAGCCTCTGTGATCCACTCTGTTTTTTTAATGATAATTTTAAATAATTTTACACTCCAGTTTTAATCAGCAATGTCTTGTCTTATCAAGTCTTTAGAAGTCTGTTAATGATAATGAATAGTACCCGTTGTAAATTTGAATGTTTTCAGCCTGTGGGCTGCTTTTAATTCAAATAAATAAACCATAATAATTAAATCTTAAAAAAAAAAATGGACGCAGAACGCGCATGGGACTTTAACGTACACAATTCCATAGGGTAATTGTCTAAGGGGCGTGGCGAGGCCCGCAGAGCCGATAATTGGCGCTTCGGAACGGCGCGCGGGAAAACGACCCACGTACACTACACTCGGAACTGAATCACACACACACCACCGACCCCCACCCCTCCCACCCCCGGGTTTTGCACGAAAATACAAATATAAATACCAGTGTCAAGAACACACCGCCCAAACTCAGCCCAAGTTATTTTGTCGAGTCAAACCATGGAGCTATAAAAAGGTCCATGGAGCTATATATAGCTCCATGGTCAAACAGAGTGTTCCTTTAACTTGAGATGGCACCTTGGCCACTCTTGGTGGCGCACTATCAAAACATTTGCCGCGCGCACGTGTTCAAACCAAAGTAGTTCATGTAGTAGAAACTGCACTGATTGGTGAGTGATGGACCAAACTGATGTATTCTCACGATGGATGATGGAGATTTTTGGACTTAATACGTATGGTTTTATGCCCACTTTGCCGAGGTTCGTTTTTGCATGTTTTGTAAGTTAAGTAGGCCCTATAATTTTGCACTAATAATATTAATAAACTACGTTAAATCATAGAGCAGGTTAAATTGGAGCGGTCACCCCACGGTCATGATGGTAGCGCCAGTCTACCGCTTTCCTTTTAACAGTGTTGAACCATTGCAACGTACGCTAGGTACGCGCACGTTGCACGTTTTTCTAAAACTATTTAAAACCCTCATCAACATCTCAAAATCACCAGGTCCAGATGAGATACCCACCAGAGCGCTTAAGATGTTTGCGATGGCGTCGGTTCTTACATTTATCTTCCAACAATCACTTGGTCATGTTGGTACTGGGAATGGAAATGAGCTAATATTACCCCATTATTCAGGAAAGGGTCGCTCAAACCCTGCAAATAACAGACAGATTTCTTTAATAGTTTGACAACTACCTGCTGCAAATTATGGGAACACATTTTAGACAGTCATCTCATGGAACATCATCAGATCCTTGTCAATAACCAACACACTTTTTGTAAGGGAAAATCAAATGAGAGCCAACTCATTGTAACCATACACGATTTATTTAGCCAGAAATCATAACAACAATAATGTCACTACAGATATAGCGTTCTTGGCTTTGCTGAAGCATCTGATGTCATCTCGCATCAGAAGCCTTACCGCCAGATTACAGCCCCATTAAAATCACCCGTCATATCATCACAAAAGATTCTAGTCACATCCTGCAGCCAAAAACTGGGGGATCCAGGAAAGGCAACACCATACAATTTGAGAGAACCCGTATCTCAACATCAACATTTGAACACTCAATTTCTTTCCGAGAACCATCAAGGTATGGAACGATCTTCATCAGACTGTTATTGACTCGTCCTCACCAGACGTTTTTAGCGACAGCTATACATTTAGGCAACTATACAGTGTGATTACAATCGAAGTAGATTCCACTCTTCTGGAGGCCTCTTTTTAATCTCCTTATTCAGGAATTTAGGAGGATTTTCTACAAAGTACCAAGGGTGTCTTGGAATATTATTTGTTTACAAACTTATTGCTCTTTTAGGAGTCGTGAGGTAGTGGTTATTGGATTCATATCATCATGCCAGTCATATTGTGCCTCTTAATTGCCTGGAGCATTGAATCAGCTCAGCAGGTTGTGGCTTCGAGTCCAGCCTGTTGGATTGCAGTGCGTGTGTGCTTTAGTAATTAGGCAAAACACTTGGTCACTCATTGCTTCTCATCACCCAGGAGTAATAAATGGATACCTGTGAGGGCAGAGATAGAGATCGTTCTTGGATTAGCTGTTTGTTCCTCAAAAAATGCTGCATCGAGCTGAATATATTCCCCAGGGAGATTGGATGGTATAAATAAGGTTCAAGGTTCAAGGTTCATTTATTTTCCACAGTATCGAATCAATAAATGACATGAAATAATTACTTAACAGAAAAGAATTACAAATAATACAACAAAAGTGATATTTTAGGGACACTGCAGATGATCGAGGGGCCCATTGAGAAGCAGAGCTTTTAAGCATGGGCCCCAGACAGGCATGCTCATTGAGCCCAATCCAAGAGAAGGGAATTAACTTACAATGAACACTATTGAATGGTCAGTCACACGAGGCTCAATGAGCATGCTGTATTTAAAGTAATTGCATGTACGTAGAAAAGCAACATACCTAAACACAATACACATTGAGACGTAAACTACGGACAAACAAACAATAGGCCTACAATACAGATCATTTAAACTAGTCAGGTCAGCAAAGAGCAATACAATCATGGATATTCTACAATCTACATGTAACTTCATGTATATATTATATCTACTGGCATGAATTAATGATAAGTTTGAATTAAGATTGATTTAAATAGTCGTTTAAAAGTGGAGAGATTGGTAGAAGCTTGCATTTGTTTAGAGAACGAATTCCAGATAAATAAGGAATTGTAAAGGCCCAGTTTTCATGAATAATAATAATGTCAAGTGCTACAACATTTACACAATAAACACATCATTGTATCTCCTGTTTTGATTTAATAGGAAAATGCGAACCAATCACAGTCAGCACTTGCCGTGGGTCAGGGGTCCTCCATCGGTATACAAGGATGCCGGTTGAGGTACCTGGTCCCGGACCGATGGACCATCAGCACTTCATGACCCAACATGAAGCTGTTGGTCAGCTCCAACCCTATCTACCCATCATGAGCAAGGCTAGGGGATGTCGGGAGTACCTCAAGCCCTTGCTTTGTGCCGTCTACCTGCGGCCTTGTGACCACGAGTCCGTCGGTGGGTCGCTGCCGTGCCGTGACTTGTGTGAGAAAGCGCAGGCCAGCTGTAAACGCACCATGCGTCACGTAGGATTGGACTGGCCGCGACAGCTAGACTGTACTAGGTTCCCCAGTGCAACACAGTACAGCACCTGTATGTCAGGTACGATTTTCAATTAATTTTTTTTTTAACTTACTCTGCCCATCAACATTACGTTTTGCCCTTCGCCGATGTATAAACACTGTATGCTCAGTGTGTTACCTCCCGAGTGAAAGTTGAGAAAAAAATCACTCGGTTGGGACTCAAATCCATGACCTCCTGCTTTCTAGTGCAGACATCTTGCCACTCGGCCACCGAGCTTGCGTGATCGGTTGGCTGGTTCGAATCTGATCTGTCAAGCAAAGTTCTAATCAAAGTTCTAATCACATGTTAAGTCACAAGTTCTTTCCTCGCCTTCCACTGCTGTCACCCAGGTTCAAATCCCGCCTGGGCCAAAGTGTGGATTAGGTTTGCAGTCCCTGCATAATGCTTCATCATAAATTAATAAATAAATATTTTGCAAATGAACCACAAAGGGAAACTGACTCGGTGAATTATAACAATTTTTTGAAAAGTTGAACAAAGAAATTGACTGGAGCGGGGTTTGCACCTCCGACCTTTGGATAACCGTTCCGGTGCTCTTCCAACTGAGCTATCCAGACCTATGTTGGCGGTTCCTTAATACGTCAATGTCTTTGTCCAAGATAAAGATATTGACGTATTGGTACACCGCCAACAAGGACAGCTCAGTTGGTAGAGGACTGGAACAGTAATCCGGAGGTCGCAGGTTCAAACCCCCACGCTCCAGTCTATTTCTTCATTGAACATTTCAATTAATGAATAATAAATAGATAGACTTATGATTTGAAAATCTGCTCAAATCATCTGGTGAATTTTGAAGGACATATAGGAGGGTTGGGGTTAAGTAAAGATATGCTGTAGAATGTTCTAAGTGTTGTTTGTTTCTTCTAACAGCATTAAACGTTGGCCCAGTTGAAGAAGTAAGAGACAGCGCTGACAACGTGCCGACGGTTGAGGTGCGAGTGACCTGTAGCTATGAGCTTTCGCCTAAGATTCAGCCGCAGTGGTTAACCCCGGATGGCAACCTGATAACTGGTATAACACATAAAAGGCTTAGAACCAGGCCCGTCACCAAGGGGGGGGGGGGCCTGATGGGGCCGGGCCCCCCTTGGCGACCAACGGCAAAAGCAATGCATGTGTATTTTTGTATTTTTATGATAGTGGGCCCCTCTAGTTGGTACTATGGCCCCCCTAGTACCGGACCTACTTAGAACATCAAAATAAAGTGCTTAGTCAGAAAACGTTTAAGGCAACTTGGATTGAAGGTGATGCTCTACAGAATTCTGCTCAGCAAGTATATCTCCAATGGGTGGCAAAACCAAGGCCCAATTTCATGCCTCTATACTATTACTAGACATGGCAGAATACTTCATGTTTGATCACCATCTGACCATTCCATTCTTACTGCACTAGCACAGGTATTCTGTGCTTACAGGACGAGATATTTTTAACCACAGAATGAACCATCAACATAAATAAATTGTTTGGTGTTTGGGATGGCAGTATAGGTCCCTTGCCCCGGGCCCTGGCCTTCTTCTGCATCTAATTAAGATGCTTTGGGGATGTTGATTTTGAAAACAAATTGCAACCCTAGCAGATCGAGCGTTTATATCCTCTCTGTCACCACCTCAGCCTTCTACAGAAACAACCTTGTGATGACCACCAGTCTAGGTGTGCGATCCACTGTGTATGAGATTTATTGGATGTCAAAAGTTTCGCAGCCGTGTTTTATTTGTGTCCTTATACAATTCCCCAAATATTCTGAATTACATGGTTATAGCATTCATTATTGGAATAATTGAAATAAATTAGTGTGTACGATGAATAAGTACAAATATGAGTTTTGGGGCAAACGACTTGACATGGGTGTGCTAGAAATGTTAAATTTTTTTTTCAAAAGGACTTTTAACTTGGTCTGAGTACTTTTTACAAGTATTCCACGTTTTCAACACTCGTATACCTTTTTGTTCATACCCCACTTGAATTTGTATCCAAATTTCTATGTACTCACATGACACTTGTCTAGTTTTTCGTGGTAAATTTTCTACTACAGCTGATGATATTTCATTATACTTGTCAGACTCGGATGAGGACTCAACTGTGATTCTCTTAGTGTCATCATTTTTTGCATCCTGTTGTTTTGTTATGCTCAGATGACGAGATGGAACGCATCTTTGCACAGAGAGTAAACAAGCACACTACAAACCTCGTGATACTCCGGTACACAGATTCCTTCGATAGCGGCAACTACACTTGCATTGTGGGGGACAGCGAGTTTACCCGCTCTGTGACGCTCGCCAACATCTATGAACCCGAAGAAGGTTTGCTTAAATGACTTCTTGCGTATAAACTCTTTGAGAACAGAATTAATTGCTGTAATCAGACAGCATTATAAAAAATGTACTGTGATTTTCGAGCCAGACGTACTGAGGCATGTACGCCTTTGCGTACCAGAGGGAGTGTACGGACTCCAAAACACATCTGTTGCAGATTCTGTATCTGTGATGACTTGTGATGACTTGTGATTGACCTGTGATGACTTGTGATTGACCTGTGATGACTTGTGATTGACCTGTGATGACTTATGATTGACCTGTGATGACTTGTGATTGACCAGTCATGACTTGTGATTGACCTGTGATGACTTATGATTGACCTGTGATGACTTATGATTGACCTGTGATGACTTATAATTGACCTATGATGACTTGTGATGGACCTGTGATGACTTGTGATTGACCTGTGATGACTTATGATTGACCTGTGATGACTTGTGATTGACCAGTCATGACTTGTGATTGACCTGTGATGACTTATGATTGACCTGTGATGACTTATGATTGACCTGTGATGACTTGTGATTGACCAGTCATGACTTGTGATTGACCTGTGATGACTTATGATTGACCTGTGATGACTTATGATTGACCTGTGATGACTTATGATTGACCTATGATGACTTGTGATTGACCTGTGATGACTTATGATTGACCTGTGATGACTTATGATTGACCTGTGATGACTTATGATTGACCTATGATGACTTGTGATTGACCTGTGATGAATTGTGATGACTGAGCTTTTTGTATTTCTGCCTTATTACATTTAGAACAAACCACCTGTGAGCCCATCCCTGATTTCTGGTGGTGCCGGAGCAACGTCAACTATGCCGAGATCCAGCTGCCAAACACCTACGGGATGAGAACGAAGGATGAGATCCGCCACAAGCTGGAGCGTTACAGCGAGGTGGCCCGCTCGGGCTGCTCTCAATACATAGGCGCGGCGCTCTGCGCAACGTACCTGACGGAGTGTGACTCCAGCAGGGATGCCCATCGACCCATGCTCTGCCGTGACCTGTGCGAGAAGGTGGATCGGGAGTGCGCGGAGGCGTTCCGAGAGGGTGGCGTTGAACCCCTGTCCTGCGACGGAGTGGTGCGGCACACAGACGGCGACTGCTACAATGGTATGCTCGCAATTCAGAACATTTTGTGAACGGACCTTTGAAATTAATAGGTCTACAGAACTGTTCCTTGTCATGCTTATTTTGATCAGCCCAACTTACAAGAGGAGACAATTTAGTTTCACCTTTCACATATTTAATGCATGTTCGTTCGATTCGTACCTCAAAACTGGCAACTTCTTATACATTTATTGTAGTATATCACTGATTTAAATTAGCATTATCATTGTTAGGCATTGTAAACAGTACTCTTCATTCCCATTAATATTCTCAGTGTGAAGAAAATAGACTCATTTACACAATGTCGGAAGCCTGTTTATATTCTTGAAACAAGAAATGTGACATTTGATGGTAATAAAAAGTAAGAACAGAGTGGTTTGCATCAATATACACATTTCACTTGAGAAGATGGCTCTTTCACAACACTTGAATCAAAGATAAACCTTAAAAATTCAGCACAGTCTTGTACCAAAGATTCTTGTCTAACTTTTAAATCTTATTTCCTTACCTCATCTCTTTGCTATTTCTGGTCAGGAATCGAGATTAGTCCTGCGGAGAGTTTCGACACGGCCACAGGAAAACGGGTAGAGGTGGAGTGTTACCATGCGCCCATAGTCAGGGCTGTCTGGGTCACCCCAGATGGAGCCTCATTGCGTATCCCTGGTGGTAAGTGGAATATCATTATCCCTGTCATAATTGGATATTTGATCTCTGGATATACTCACAAGGCTTTCAAATAAGGCCTTTTGGGGATTGTCTTGTCCACCGGTGTTAAAATCAACACTGGTACACTGACTGTGAGCGGAACCATGGCCCCATCGAAAACAAGTCAAGGTCTACAGTTCACATTTACACCAGTTTGTTCAGGGGTCGACTGTCGATTTTGGATATTGTACCCGAGTACAATCTCTCAACCCTATAGTCCCGACAAGGGATGAATTTTGCCCGTGTTGAGCACCGAGCCTGTTTGAAAGCCGTGTTGTATTCTTGCTAGTGTTGACAGGGTTTCCATTCAAACTGGGTCCAATTGCAGAGATGTTTTGATAGTATGAAGTGGAAGGGCTTTGATGCATGGTACCACACATTATTAACCACAGGTTGACTATGATTTTACAAATTCACCATGAATTTGCCTAATTTATTACTTGCTGTGGTGGTGACAGACCCAGAATCCCGCATTACGGTGGAAGTGGAAGGCAGAAATATTCTCCGTCTGGTCATCAACGACTTTGTGGATTTCAAGGATGCCGGCCGCTACACCTGTAGCGATTGGGACACATTCAACCGAACCATCACCATTGACAACATCTACCAACCCAATGTGACAAGTAAGTTAATTCAATAATGGCATTGGTTCCCTTTCACTAACATACTTTTTTTTTGGGGGGGGGGCCTAATGGCTTGTTAGCCTTTTTGGCAGGATTGATGGAGGTAGAGCTTTTCATGGGACTTGTCTTGACAGTTTCAGTACAGAGAACGTGCTTGCAGTAGTGGATTATAGAGGATTCAGAGATGCGACTTGTGTTACGGTCTATGTGCTGTCATTTTTTTGTATTGACTTACCATAAAAGAATGGGTGCTTTTGTGAACTCTTCCTATTTTCTTGATGTCTATATCTGCCCAATCTGAAGTAACTATCGACCACTTTAAGTCACAATCTGTTAACAGTTGACAGACAACGGGTTGACAATAATCCAGTTCTCACAGAGTAAACTGGTTCCTTATCCTATCGAAATGAATAATGTAGGGACTCGGAACCGGTATACTCACAGGACAGATTGGGCCCAATTTCATGGCTCTGCCAACTACAGAATTCCGCGCATATGATCACCATTTTGCGCTAATGATGCAAGCAGAACAATTCTACGCCAAGCCTGTAAGCTCATTAGTTACGGGATGTAAGCAAGCGTAGAAGCCGAAATTCCTCGCTAACCCGTGAGATACACTTACCATAAGCACGGAATTTACTGCTGCAAAGTGGGGCTTTTTCGCTAACGGTAAGCAGGGCCATGAAATTGGGCCCAGATCTGTTTGTGTGCAAAAACAATTAAAAAAAAACCCTTTTTTTCAGAGAGTTGTTGAACATCTCAAATTGAAAATAAAAAAAAATTAAAAATACAAAAAAAAAAAAAAAAAAAAAAAATCAATTAAAAAATATTGTACAGGTTGAAAAACTTTTTGAAGAAAAAAACAATTGAATTTGTTGAAATGCATGGACAGTGCATCTACATTCTGCGGTGTGTTGATCTGTACCTTTATTTGTTCCAGCTCCCTCCCGTCCTGAGATTGAGATAGGTGAAGTGAACCAGGTCGATGTTCTTGGCATAAGATTTACATCTGTTGCGTGCGTTTCCACATCTCAGCCCCCATTCCTGCCCATCTGGTTAGATCTGTACGGCGCAGTGGTACCCCTAGGTAGGCCTCAGAAACCAGTACTGAATCTTTATATTTTTTCAGTCTATGTATCAATGTTCATCAGTGAAAAGGTAGTAATGACTGTTTCACATAAGTACGCAAACCCAAGTGAACAGGTTTTTATTCTCTACAATTGAGGACTTGAAACAAAGGTTGACATACGTGAGATAAGACATAGGCGTAGCCAGCAGGGGGGGGAAGTGCCCTTTTCAATATGCCGTTTTGGGTGCCTTTTTCAGAATTTCGCACCTGTATCGCCCTGAAAAGCACCATATATTCCTTTGTGTGCATAATTGTCAGTGTTGAACAGCACCCCCATCGACAGATCGTAACAGCTCCCCGCCCCTGCTTTTTGATTGTACGGAGGCCAAGTGTGCAGAGAAAAAACCTGTCTTCATTTCACAACGGATGTGCAAGGGCCCTTTTCAAAAAAATTTACCCCCCCCCCCTAATAAAAATGACCGTGCTACACCCCTGTAAGAATTACTGTCAGGACTAGAGCCCAGGTTCTCGGTAGCATATGTGTCCAAACCATATGAAACATGTGAAAAAGAGGTTACAGTCCAAACAAGAGAAAAATAAGAAGGGAACTAGTACACAGGTGCAATTTGTTGTTTCCTCTTGCCCTAGGCTGTTTAAGGGTGCTGATTCAGTAGCTGTCCTTGCTGGTGGCACATAGCTTGGGTCTGCTTCAGAGAGTGACTTTTGACTGAAATCTTTAACCTTATTTCCCATCAAACTGCGCTGTGAAAATTTGAGTAGTATTGGAGGTCATTGCCGTTTGCACGCCTATATAGATGTTGGTAACTAGTGTTGTAGTTGAGTCTATCAAAGGTCAATCACAAGTCCACCACAAAGCCATCACGTGCTCATCACATAGCCCATCACATGCTCATCACAAGTCCATCACATGTCCATCACTAGTCCAATCCAAGGACATCACATGTCCATCACATGTCCATCACTAGTCAAATCCAAGGACATCACATGTCCATCACATGTCCATCACTAGTCCAATCCAAGGACATCACATGTCCATCAAATGTCCATCACTAGTCCAATCCAAGGACATCACATGTCCATCACATGTCCATCACTAGTCCAATCCAAGGACATCACATGTCCATCAAATGTCCATCACTAGTCCAATCCAAGGACATCACATGTCCATCACTAGTCAAATCCAAGGACATCACATGTCCATCACATGTCCATTACTAGTCCAATCCAAGGACATCACATGTCCATCACATTCTCATCACATTCAAGTCCATCACATGTCCCTCACAATTAGTCCATCACAAGTCCAGCACAAGTCCATCACAAGTCTGGTCCTGATTCTGGTCACAAGGAACACGATATAATGAACAATTCATTATGAACAGTTCATTTAAGAAGCCTGTGACTTAACATGAGACTGATTGGCTTGTGCTGTATTTGTGATGCACTATTGTATGAGGACTTAATAACAACACAGTCAATACGGTGTACTGGTTTTTTTCTCTTCCAACCCCAACTTTTCATATTATCTTTTAGACGAAGCAAATCCATTTAGTCGCTTCATAGCATCAAAAGTATCCGAAAGTGAAGCAATGCTTTTCATTCGAGACTTTGAGGATTCCACCGATGCTGGTGTCTACACTTGCCTTGGTCAAGGCCCGGACTCTGCCCAGACCATAGTCATTGGGGACATCACTCTTGGTCCCCAGATTAATCTTACAGAACCTCGTAAGTTAAGCAAAAATAAAAATGCATCAAATTGGCACAATTTTGTTGCCTTTTAAGCGCCAACCTCGTACATGTACGAGGTAATGTTCGTAAATGTTCGTACTTAAAATTGCCAAACCTCGTACATGTACGAGGTAGAGTAAATATGTTATCAAAAGGGGGCGCTCTCGCTCTTTCTAATGGTACCATTTTCATGCATGTACGACCTGTATTTATTTTTTCATTCGAGTTCTTGCGAGAGGGCGCAGCACTAAATCTCGTATTTTCTGCAAAAAGTGCGGAATTCCCCTGTGTTCAGGCCAGTGTTTCAGGGTGTATCACTATGTGTGTGACTACTTTTGACTTTCCAATATATCAAGGATATACCAGAGAGCAACAACAACAAATTTAGTGAGTAAAACTTATTTACTTTTTTTTTTACAGAATTTCGAACAATTAACAAAAACGCTCGAAGTTGGGCACGTTAGGGTCAAATTTCGCGGGCACTGAAAGAGTTAATGCTAGTAAACAACTGTATGACTGAAGTTTGAACATTCCTTAGGTTCATCCAATGAAACAAGCCTGAGCTCGGATAGAAAATAACACAGTTCTCATCGTGCATTTCACATTGGAGCTAGCCGTTGCCAAGGCACACACATTTATATCAACAGTGGAATGTGCAGGAGAATTGGGGCGATGGGAGACAGCCAGGCTAGGTTGCTTTAGCTGGACATTATTCATACAATTTTGTTGCCTTCTAATGCTAGTAAAAAACTGTAGAGCTGAAGTGACTGGAAGGCAGTAACTTCCTAGGTTCATGCAATGACGCAAGCGTGTATGTGCTCTGATCGAAATGGGATGGTAGACAGCCAGGCAAGGTTGCTTAAGCTGGACATTGCGCAGATGTTTCGTGGAAAAGACAGTTTAACGGCGACGCTTGGTTTACTTTTTCCAGTTCACATTCTGTTTATTGTCTCTTTTGCAATTATTTCAAAATATTTTAATTTGGATTTCAAATATTTGAATTTGCAGTTAATTCCCTTACTACATTTTCATTTTGATTCCTCATTCTCTTTTCTCCCTGCCAGAAGGTGAGATTGTGATTGGTGACGTGACCATTTCGGATTTTGCCGGTTCAGTGATTGCATCAGTTGGGTGTACTTCCACATCCATCCCGCCATTTCAACCCATCTGGCTGGACATCTATGGCGCAGTGGTGTCAAGAGGTAGGCCTCAGAATTAATATTGATGCTATTTGTGGTGAATCCAAACAATCCCCCTATATGGGTCAGTGCTTCAAAATTGTGGACTTGAACTGTCCAATGGGGGTTTATCTCAAAAGATGAATTATCCATTGATACCTTATTACTAGCATAGCATCCCAACAGTCATACAACATTGATTTGTACTGAGTACGTAGTTGAAAACCATCTTTTGTCCAAGTTGGGCTGATTCTGATCAGTGAAATTTTATTGTCCAAACAACGCACAACCCTTGTTTTTTTTCTCGTTAAAATGGTGTGTGAAAATGTGTGGACAAATAGAGGCATTGCTTTGGCATGGCATTGTTCACTTTCATTCCCTTTTTTTTATAAAGATTTTTACCGTTTTTATCTTCCAGACATTTCAGCGAATCCATTTAGTCGCAACTTTGCTGTGAACACTTCTGACGGTATAACAGGGCTGTTCATTAGAGATTTCAAGGATTCCACCGATGCTGGTGTCTACACTTGTCTTGGTCAAGGCCCAGACTCTGCCCAGACCATAGTCATTGGGGACATCACTCTCGGTCCCCAGGTTAATCTTACAGATCCGTCAAAGCAACCTCGTAAGTTAAGCAAAATAAAAAAGGCATCAAATTGGCACAATTTTGTTGCCTTTTAATGCTAGTAAAAAAACTGTAGAGCTGTAGTGACTGGAAAGCAGTAACTTCCTAGGTTCATGCAATGAAGCCAGCATGTGCTCTGATCAAAAAGTTAACTTATTTTCCTGTCATCTTGGATTTCATATTTGAGCTACATGTAGCCATTGCAAAGACCATACAGTTATATCATCAGTAGAGTGTGCAGGAGAATTGGTGCAATATGAGACAGCCAGCCAAGGTTGCTTTAGCTGGACATTGCGCAGATGTTCCTTGAAAAAGACAGTTTAATGGCACTTTGTTTACTTTTTCCAGTTCACATTCTCATATTTCCATTGTTACTCGGCATCCTTTCTTTTCCAATATTAACCATTTGGATTTCAACTATTTTGATTTGCAGTTAATTCCGTTACTACATTTTCATTTTGATTCCTCATTCTCTTTTCTCCCTGCCAGAAGGTGAGATTGTGATTGGTGAGGTGACCACCATGAATATCGCTGGTTTCATGATGACATCAGTTGGGTGTGCTTCCACATCCATCCCGCCATTTCAACCCATCTGGCTGGACATCTATGGCGCAGTGGTGCCCAGAGGTAGGCCTCAGAATTAACAGTGATTCTTCAGGGTGAATCCAAACAGAACAATCTCCCTATATGGGTCAGTGCTTCAAAATTGTGGACTTGAACTGTCCAATGGGGGTTTATCTCAAAGGGTGGTGTATCAGCTTTCCATTGATACCTTATTGCTAGCATCCCAACAGTCATACACCATTGATTTGTAATCAGTACGTAGTTAAAAACCATCTCTTCTCCAAGTTGGGCTGATTCTGATCAGTGAAATGCGATGTCCAATGGTTTTTTTCTTCATAAAAGTGGTGTGTGAAAATGTGTCGAATAATAGAGGCATTGCTTTCGCATGATTTTATATGCTTTGATTCATCCCCTTTTTTACAAAGGTTAATGTTAAGATTAATGTTATCTCTCAGACATTTCAGCAAATCCATTTAGTCGCCACTTTGCTGTGAACACTTCAGATAGTGTAACAGGGCTGATCATTAGAGATTTCAAGGATTCCACCGATGCTGGTGTCTACACTTGTCTTGGTCAAGGCCCAGACTCTGCCCAGACCGTAGTCATTGGGGACATCACTCTCGGTCCCCAGGTTAATCTTACAGATCCATCAAAGCAACCTCGTAAGTTATTAAGTAAAAATAAATATGCATGAAGTTGACACAATTTGTTGCCTTTGAATGCTAGTAAAAACCTGTAGAGCTGTACTGACTGAAGACAGTAAATTCCTGGGTTCATCCAATGTAGCAAGTGTGGGCTTGGATCGAAAGTAATGTTCTATCATTTTGCATTTCACGTCAGAGCTAGCCATTGCCAAGAAACCACATTTATATGATCAGTAGAGTGTGCAGGAGAATTGGGGTGATCGACAGCCAGGCAAGGTTACTTTTGCTTGACATTGCATGGTCATACGTTCTGTTTAAACAGACAGCTTAACGGCACTTGGTTTACTTTTTCAGGTCACATTCTTACTTTCGATTGTTACACAGCATCGTGTCTTCTGCAGTATTAACAATGAGGATTTCAAATATTTTGTTTTGATTTGCAGTTAAGACCGTTTCAACGTTTTCATTTTGATTCCTCATTCTCTTTTCTACCTGCCAGCAGATGAGATTGAGATTAGTGAAGTGGTTACTCTGGACATCATCGGTTCAATTTATGCATCAGTTGCGTGTATCTCCAAATCCAGCACACCATTTCAGCCTATCTGGCTTGACTTGTACGGCGCAGTGGTTCCCATAGCCGAAGGTAGGCCTCAGAAAGAAGAGAAATTATTAAATGTTTGTCCAAAAAAAATTAAGGTAATCCCTGAAAATGTCCTAGAATTAAGTATGGCTTTAGTGCAGTTACATCCTTGTGCTCTTTTTTTTTTACTCAGTCTCTTAATTTTGTTATCTTTCAGACATTCCAACAAATCAATCTAGTCGCATCCTTGCTGTGAGATCATCAGATGGTGTTACAGGACTGGTCATTAGCGATTTCAAGGATTCCACCGATGCTGGTGTCTACACTTGCCTTGGTCAAGACCCAGACTCTGCCCAGACCATAGTCATTGGGGACATCACTCAGGGGCCACTGGCTAACCCTACCACGTTGCCCTCTGTCGCAGAACCATCAGAGCAACCTAGTAAGTGAAATAATCCGAAATGAAAATGCATCAAGTTGGCCCATGTTTGTTGCCTTCAATAAAAAACTACTGAAGGAGCTGAGGTGCTGCAACATTTTTCTTTTAATTTCATTTTAACAACGTGAACTGGCAAAAGTGAAATAGCCATTGCTGATGGGATTTCTAGAGCCAAGCTTTCGGTGCACACTGTACCTGTTTTAGGGCTGCTATGACTGGAATGCAGAAAATTGCCACCCGTTCTTCAAATGAATTAACCTTGTGCTCGGATGAAAGATAATTTTATTGTTCCAGCATCTTGCATTTCACATTTGAGCCAGTCATTGCCAAGACGCACACATTCATATCATCAGCGCCGGAAAATGGAGGTGTTGGGAGACATCCAGGCTGGGTTGCTTATTACACCGGACGCCACACAAGTAGCCCATGAAACAGTCAGCTGAATGGCTTCACGTTCATTGTTATTTTTCATTGTTCAACAAGCTATGTCCTATGTGGCGGTGCCGAAGAAAGACGCTGGCGTGGAGACGGCCGGCGAGCTTGCCACCCTTATGGCGGATCGGAGGGAGGGGGGCTGTGGCGAACTTGGTGATGATGATGATGATTGTTCAGTGTCATCTCTTTGCTATATTTCCAATTTGTATTTCAAGTATTTTGTTTCGATTTGCATTTAGTTTTTTTTTAAGTTTTTATTATGAATCCTCATTCTCTTCTCTCCCTGCCAGCAGATGAGATTGTGATTGGTGAAGTGAGCACTATAAATGTCGTAGGTTCAGTGTATGCATCAGTTTCGTGCACTTCCCAGTCTAGCCCGCCATTTCAACCCATCTGGCTGGACTTGTATGGTGCAGTGGTGCCCAGAGGTAGGCCTCAGGAAAATCATTTTATTGGGTGTATCCCAACAAGAAATCCCCCCCCCCCGAATTTTTTTTAGTCCATAGCATTTTTAAATGTTTGTTTCTCACCCCATTGACGTTAAACTTGGCACAGTCGTCAACCAGCTGTAGATGTGTGCCAAATAAAATTGATGTCATCATGATTTTGTAATGTGTCATGTGACAGCACGTTAAAAGTGCGTTTTCAAAGTCCTACATCTACAGAAGCACATGTCTGATTGGGCTGAATCTTGGTATATACCTAGACAAGGTTGTATGATAGATGAAATTTGAGATGACGTCAGGATGATGTCACCTCATGTCATGTGACATCACATTAAAGGTGACTTATTAAAAGGCCCATGTCTACAGGAGTACATGTTCGATTGGGTCGATACCTGGGTACTACTTAACAGTTAACAGAAAAATTGTGCTCAGCATAGCAGAAAAATGTGCTAACCTTAAGCACTATTTCACGGCGTGGATGTGCAAACGGTCGCGCGTGCATGGAGATTTCTATTGTTTTGTCACTTAGTTAAGCAAATTTTTCCTCTGAAGTAAGCATGCCTTTGGATGTGCTTATATGCTTACCATCTCCATGAAATAGACGGAGGCTCTGTTAGCAGAAAAATGTGTGCTTAGCAGCGCCGTGAAATTGGGCCCTGGTGTGTCCCTAGACAGGGGTGTGCTAGAGATAAACGTCATGATGACACAATCACATGTCATGTGACGTCACATTAAAGGTGCACTTTTAAATGGCCTACATCTAATAGACTACAAGGCTGTTTGGGTTACAACTGTAAGTACTACATCTAATAGACTACAAGGCTGTTTGGGTTACAACTGTAAGTACTACATCTAATAGGCTACAAGGCTGTTTGGGTTACAACTGTAAGTACTACATCTAACCGAGGCTTTTAATGCTCTTGTCTTTCAGACATTGTAAGAAATCCATTTAGTCACCACTTTGGTGTGAACACTTCAGACAGTGTAACAGAGCTGGTCATTAAAGACTTTGAGGATTCCACGGATGCTGGTGTCTACACTTGCCTTGGTCAAGGCCCAGACTCTGCCCAGACCATAGTCATTGGGGACATCACTCAGGGGCCATTGGCTAACCCATCAGAGCAACCTCGTAAGTAAAAAAAAAATATGGGTTTGCGCGTTGTACATATTATTCTCACATGCTACAGAGTTGGATTCATACATTTTGTGAAGGGATGGAGCAGGACAAGTGATGGTAAATTTTCAGTAAATATTGTTATGTAATGGAAGAACTTCGAAGTGGGATAGATTAATACGAATCTCTCTCTCTCAAAAAAAGAAAATTAGAATTGGTGGATGAGGCTTTTACACATGGTAAAGTAAAACTAGACTTCCTTGGTGATTGATGGAGGATTCCATTTTTCTTTGGCTCTGCCTTGGAATGAAAACAATCCATGGATCTCTTAGAAGGCTTGTGTTACAATACACTTGCAATGGAGCAGTCAATATTTGTATAATATAACCACCACTCTGAGCAGAAAATGTTTCTATTCCCCCTTGATGGGATGGTAGTCCATCGGAGGTTACTCCTGGTTCTAATTTATACTCCTGGGTAGAGAGAGGGTTTACCCGAGAAAGGCAAGTGGGGTTTGCCCATGGACACAACATGGCCAGCAGCTGGATTCAAACACCATGAGTCACAAATCCTAACCACTAGCTTATAGGCCACACTTCCCCACTTTCTAATATTACCAACACATTATGTTTTGTCATTATTTAAGCCTGTGAGGAGATTAGAATTCCTGACTGCTCTGTTGGCATCGGCTACTCATCAACCTACGTCCCTAGCCTAGTCGGGTTGGGCCAAAATGAGCTGGGTGATGTCTTCCGCGGTCTGGAGCCCGTCTTCGCCAACCCTTGCAGCCCGTACTTCCGCCCCTACATGTGTGCCCTCTACCTGCCGCCTTGCCGCGAGAGGGCCGTTCTGCCTTGCAAGGAGCTGTGCTTGACTGCTGTCGACCAATGCGCAGAGACTTTGAGGATCACATTCTCGGTGGAGGAGCTTGCGGGTATGAGGGAGAGTTGTGCCTCCATGCCCAGCGAGAATGAGCCCGGTGCCAAGTGCCATAATGGTGTGTACCAGACTATTGCAGTCCAGAGAGATTTCAACCAATACATTGAAAAGTTGACCTCACAAACCTGCAAGATTGTATGACAATACAGCACATCTGGGCACTATGTGTAGGATCTACAACATGTGCAACATCCTATTTTTTTGCATTTATTTTGTGCCCTGACTGGGGCCATTCAATCAAGGGCAATAAATGGGTATTTCAAAGGAAAAAAAAGCGTTACAGTTTGCAACATACTGAACATTTTAAAATTGATGACTACATATGTGTTATAAAATTAATTTTAGCGACGTCAACTTCTTTTCAATCAATCACACGGATAACGAGTGGGTAAATTCAAACACGAGAGTCTGTGACTAGACTAGTCAGTGTTTGGTACCAAAATATTTTTTTTTTTAAGTGAACGTGGACTTGTGAGACTTACACGTTCTGTTGCATAGTTTGTGTTGTATCCAAGTCCCAAAATCATATGAAAACAGTGGGAGTGGGACCCTTTTATAAATGATAAATTTTTTTTTTTTTGCTTTTCACATTATCTTTTGCTTGTTCCAACTATGGTCATCACTCATCTGTGTTGGCGAACTGGTTGTACCAGTTCGCCAACAAAACAGATGAACATTGTATATGGCAAATGACATACCCACAATGTTTTATCGCACCTACACCCTTCACAAGTTTTAGCAGTTTTAGCACTGTACTATTGTTGACCAATGGTTAACCATAGTTCGACTAAAGTTAGCCCGAACTCTGTCTAGTCGACGATGGTTGACTACGCTAGTCGACTATTTGGAACCAGTCTACCGCGGCTGGTCACGCAACAATTTATAGCTGGTTATCAAGTGCTATTTCCATAGCATAGTGCAGAGGGGACCAACTATCAACAAAAATGGCCAAAAACGAAACTGTGGCGCTAAGTTTCATTTTCATTGCACAGTTTTCCATGTCAGTTTATGATTATGTCACTTTTGTCACCATTATACAATAATAGTGGGGATTATGTAAGATGTCCTAAACTTCCACAATCACTAATATTGTGTAAATATAAAACAACAAGTGTTGAATAATTGTGCGACCGCCATTTTCTGACGGTCGTTGACATGACAATTGTTTGACTAGAGTCGTTCGTACATCACGAACCAACCACTAGTTAACCACTGGTCCTTGCTCGAACTTGCACCAGAGCTGTCGGGGCACTGTATGAGGACAAATGAAAATATGTTTCCTGACACCCGAGGGCGCTTCTTTTTCTGGTCTTAGAGGGTAAGCCTCAAGTGTCCTATTGCGCCTGACTGATGACTGACTCATTCCCCGCTCACTCCCCTACTCACTCACTCACTCACTCACTGGCTTTCACTTGTGAACTGGCACGTGTTATTGTATATGTTCAATTACCCCGTGGACATCAGATGCATGAAAAGACTTTCTGTGAATAGCCATTCTGAATCAATTTACCAGAATTTTGTTCATTTTTAACCATATTCCCCCTTCTGATTCTGTGTTCTATATTGTTTTGACATTGATTGCATTAACAGTGAAGGAGGTTGAAATAGGCGCAGTTGCAGGCGCAGGAACACGGAGGGTGACTGTGGAGTGCACCTACAATCTTCTGCCTCCCGTCCAGCCGAGATGGTTCTCCCCAAGTGGACGAGAAATCCTCAGCGGTAAGGCCAATCTGGTTGCCAATGAATCACAAGACAATGAATCACAAGTCTGAGTCGCAAGACACTTGGCTCAATTACGAGTTCGAGTCTGAGTAATGAGTTTTGAATTGAACCGATTAAAGAAGTTTGGGTCACAAGTCCTCAGCGTTAGGTCCAAGTAATGATAGTCTGAGTCTTTTGTCAATGTGACTGCTGTCAAGTCCGAGTCACTGAAATTTACTAGATACTTTACTAGGACTTTGTCATACACTTCCGCTATTTTATTCTTCCGAGTCTGTTGTCAGTGTTACTCGAGTCACATTCGAGTCACTGAAATTGCAAGATACTGTGGGCTGGAATCTGATTTCTTGGCTACAGTCATCCAACTTCGCTTTTCTATTCTTCTAAGTCTTCTGTCCTTGTGACTCAAGTCACATCCGAGTCACTGAAATTACAAGATAATGTGGGCTCAAATCTGAGTTCTTGGTTTCAGTCATACAACTCTGCTATTCTCTTCTTCTGAGTTTTTGTCAGTGTGACTTGAGTCACATCCGAGTCACTGAAATTACTGAAATTACAATATTTTGTGGGCTCGAGTCTCAAGTTCAGGGCTTTAGTCATACAACTTGGCTATTCTATTCTGCTGAATCTTTTGTCAATGTGACTCGAGTCACGTCTGAGTCACTGAAATTGCAAGATATTGTGGACTGGAGTCTGAGTTCCAGACTTAAATTATACAACTCGGCTATTCTTTGATAGGTTCCTGGAGGCGGGTTCGAGTGATTGAAAGCTCAGATTCCATCACCGTGCTGGAAATTAAGAACTATGCGCCACACATAGATGAAGGCAGTTACACCTGTGCTGGTCCCATTCAGCGTGTTACCGTGGACCTGTAGGAACCTCAAGAAATGGACGGTAAGGGATTTGTGTAACACTGAATGTGACCCAAGATGAACCAATTCACCTAGTACATGATAACTGTCATATCGTCGGGTGCCCGGCAGAAGGGCATATGAGCGTTCTGATGCAAAAATCAGTTCCAGAAATGTTCCTCCACGTGTATTACATATCCAATGTTCTCCCACACGTATTATATAAATCATATGATTTTGAAATTTGGTTACACGTAACACATAAGTTTTGGAACAACTTGTGTTAATTCTTGACAAAAAATCTTTAAGTAAAACAGAGGCACTTTTCTGCTTATTCCCTATTTGCTGGGAACGTTTTGGTGATTGCATGTCATTGCATTAGGGCACATTACGCGCATATACCCTTCCGCCAGGCACACGACGATATACACATTGTTCAAAATATATCATGAATAAACCCATATCCCAATTTAACTAGCGACAAAAAACAGAGCTTCATATTTGGTTAGTATATGGTTCCAGGCTCCAAACCGTGACCTTTTTCCTGTCCTTTTTATTTACCTTGTTATTTAGAAAGTTGCAGTGCAAGTTTCATTGAGAAATGAGAAATATATAATCAGAGGTAACAGGACAGGGAAAAAGTGGACCCCAAATTTATTGAGTAATAAATTTTTGATAATATTGGTGTAGATCTGCATTGCAAAAGGAATTGGAAAAATGTGTCCAAACGCTCGTACTCAGTCATTTCAATTTAAAGCAAACATCAGTCTGCACATTGCAACCTTGGTGCTAAGGCTTGTTTCCTGCTATGTATCCATTCATTTCAATAAAACTTCAAGTGGGGTATTTGCAAGGAACAGGACTACGAAACTTCACCTTATTTGAAGTTAAATAGTAAGGGATAAGAAGAGACTTGATTAAAGATGAACTGCCAGGTGTATTTTCAAGTTCACCCTCAAAAAGACCTTTGAAATGGATAAACTTTTTGTAGGCCTGTTGCAGACGGCCTACCAAAAAAGTGTACCCCTTTAACACTCAAAAGTCAAATTTGTTAGGAGGAAAGTAAATTAACAATTGGAGATCATGGAAAGAACATCTTTATTATTGTGACATTGAGAGTAACTAATACCGAAATTGGTATTGTATTTCTCTGTTTTCTGCCCAGATTCAGCTGAGCAAGCCTCGTGATGATTTGCCCATGCCAAGCTTGGAAACTTGCGAAACTTTGTGTTATACTGATACCGATTTTTAAGTCTATACAGCTGTAGAATTAACATATATTGTAGAGAAACTGTTCAGTTTGTGTTAGCCTTATATGATACGAGTGCACAAAATAATTATCATGAGTGGCCCGTTTCATTGGGAATCACCTGATATGCTGGCAATCAGCCATAGCATCCTAATTTCCATGATCAACTGGTTTTGTACGAGTGACTTGTTTACGTACATATACACTCTTGTACTTTATTATGTAGCAGTGATTTGTGTTTTTTAATTCCCCCCCCCCCAAAAAAAAACAAACAAATAATATTTTGTCAGAATTTTCTGTTGTTCAAACCTAAAGGGGCAGGGTTATTTTAACCATCTCTCCCCTCACCTCAGATCTTGAGTGTTGAAAAATTATGAAACTCGGTGGATGCATAGAACAACTTCATATGAACATACCCAAGAAATAGAATTACCATTGGTTAAGGGTGTGGATTTTGGCTGATTAATTATTTAAGTGCACAAATGGAAATTCTGCTTTGTGTAGGGAAATTCAGTGGCACCCAATGGTCAAAATTTCATGTTTTTTTGGTATCGAAAGATGTGCAAGACTCGAGGCTAAAAAGTCAGGAAAGCTCGGGTTGGGAAATATGTTTTGCAAGGGTATCGCTGAAAAAGTGGAGAGAGGGTGTAGATTCCTCCCCCCCCCCCCCCCCCCCCCCCCCCCCCGGCCCTTTTAGTGTACAAATAATCTTCCATTTTGTTGAAATGAATCACTGACTGAATTTATATTATAAGATAATAATTATTACTTGACTTCAGTAAACTTGTTTAGTATAGTATTGCAGTGATTTGTGGTGTTTATTCCCCCCCCCAAAAAAAAAAAACCCAAGATAATGTATCACAAATTTCTGATGTTAAAGTTAATCTTCCATATTGTTGAAATAAATCACTGATTGAATTGAAGTGAAAGTGTTATTAGGTTTCAGAATAGCTTTTTCTTGCCCTAAAGTTTGGCTCCATTTTTTTTATTTAGAAAAAAAGTTTTTCTCTTTTGGAGAACACCACCGTTACATATTTCACACACTGGGAGACAACATCCAAGCATTTACAAGACTTTACTTTTATTATAAGACTATCAGCAACGCACATGTTGAGGTCAGTACAAATGTATGAGGGACTTTCTGCCTTGAACCAATGGAGCATATATACATATATACATTAGTTTTCTTGCCATTTAAGATTGTTTCTTATGCACTAATTGTGAATTCTGGTGCTCTATGATTCTGGCAAGAGCTGCAGTACTCCAGTTCCTTTCTATTTGGTTAACACTGGAGGAGTTCTACACGTTAGAGTGGGGTCATCTACATAAACATAAACTGGCAGATCGCATAATAAATAAATAAAAGTGGACCTATGAGATCGACCTCTGATGAGGAACATCAACATTTGGTGGAACGACCGGGTGCGGTCCTAGAGCCTACATTTTAGGGGATTTTGCAGGGGTGGATCCAGAAATATTTGCAGGGAGGCGTGCTGAAATGTTGAGCGGTTTTTCCGGACATTTGCCCTCCGAAAATCAATATGGGGGGGGGGGGGCTCGGCTCGTACCATATTTTCAACTATATTACATAACAGTGTGCAAATGCCCCATTCTTACCATTGGCTACGCCTGTGGCGAACATGTAAGCTTTCATTGCCAATAGGCCTACTGTTTCCAACAGGGGAGGGGAGGGTTTGACACAAAAACACCCCCCCCCCCCGGATCCGCGCCTGGCCGGCTATATAGCGAATATTTTTTGGGGGGAGGGGACCAGACCGTTTGCATGTGACGCACCTTCTAATTTTTCCATTTTATTTTGGCGGGGTGGGGGGGGGCCGGGAAGGCCAAACAAAATTGTAAGGGTGGGGGGGGGGGGCTAAAGCCCCCCTAGCCTACCGTAGAACCGCACCTGGACTGAACCTTTGATATGTTGGCCTCTATATTCACAAAGTGACTATAACCACTTATGCTACACTTAAACCAATTGATTATAATTATAAGTTGACATATACATCTTTTTTATTCCAGCTGGACTCCGAGGGATTTTGAAATGGGATGGTGTCCTTAACGTTTAAGAGAAACGCATAATGGAAACTTTCAGGAGCAAGCTGTTGTAAAAACTTTTAGTCGAGTGTTGCTAAAATTCGTGTTCCCACCCCAGGCAAGAACTGCACTCTGTTATGTTTGTCATCATCTCTTCTGCATAAACGAAGCACGAGGAATCTGCAAAGATAAAAGAAATAATCTAATTTATTTCATTTTTGTTCTCATTCGAAGCACAACCCAACTATCGGATTGAGAATAAATGAATACATCGAAATCCCTGTTGCTAAATTACCTAAAGAATTGGTGAAGACTTGCTCTATAAGCAGGGTCTTCAGTCCTTCCGTCGGTCCTCCTCCCTGCTTCCAGTTCCTTGAGATTCAGAAGTGATCGTATCTTCGTCCCGAATGATATCTCATCTTGCAGACCGCCATCTCTGCCAGAAGATTAGAAGGAACACACGTGTGAAAAAAAAAAAAAAAGTGTGCGCGACATGCGCCTGTTGCACTTCTTTTTGATTGGTGGGTTTGTGAAGTTGTTAAGCAATCATTAGTTTACATTAAATATAAAGTTTCCTCTAGATTCATCGTATTTCTAAAAAATAATCATAAATGTATCATTAATCGAAGACAAGCAGAACATCCCAAGAAATTTTATGAAAGAAAAATAGTTTTTACCAAGGAAATCAGTAATGGGATGCCCGGCAAGCAGGGCCATCAGCCATCCGGTGTTCCTCCTCCCTGCTTCCGGTTCCTCTGTGTCATCAGCTACTGCATGCCATGAGCACTCTGGCCAATACTGGTCCTCCTAATCTAACTGCAAGTTGCTGAAACTAAAAGAAGTCTTCCTAGCGGAGCTAGGTTATGTTTACTACAATGTACAGTGGCTTCCCGATCGGAAATTGTGATCGGTACTGTGGTGTAAAGAGAAGGAAAATGTATATTAATGGTCCTTACCTGACCACTATAAAGATATAGAAAAAGGGAAACTTACGTTTGTTCTATGCTTTGTAGATCTCTAGGCCTAATTGGGTGCAAAGTATCTTACATACAGACGGTGAAAATAATCCAATCGGTGGCCCTTACCTGACCACTGTAAAGGATTCAACCGTTGAGAAAGAAAGCTTAGTTTAGGCCTATTCTTTGGCCTAATGGTCGCGAAGATGATAACTCCAGTATGGACAAAGCAAGGCGCATTGGTGCAAAGGGAAACAACATTCACATTGCCGACGAGCTGTGATCGGACTTATCAGAATTGAAACGTACCATCGATCAAAACCTCCACTGGTGTTGTGGCTGTCAAAAAAAATTAATTGATGCACATTATTTCAACCTGTAAATTCAAGATTTGCACTTTACAGAGCGATTACAAGGTGTATCCGACATAACAGGTGTCATTACACCTGATTTACAATAAACAAAACTAAGTTGACGCAATGGCCCAACACAAAAGACAATAATCGATCTTTGTGAATCGGATATTATGGAAGAACAAAATCACAAACAATATGTCCATAAGACGTAATTTTCGACAAGGATCAGAGTGTCATAAAATAATTGTGGAATCGATGAAACCATAGTTCTGATTACGTTTCACGACCGTTACAATGTTTCAAGGAATATGTAAGATCTGCTCATGGCCCTATACATGTAGGTGGCATTTTTTTAAACAATGCATCTCCAAGATTTTTTCGGTCGCACAGACAATGATTTAGATTTTTTTTAAAAATATGGTCCTATATAGAGTATTTCACTTCATGAACCACTGTGAAGTTTATGCAGGTGAGGAATACATAGTATACAAGAAAACATAGATCCAACATTAGAGCTATTCAAGTTTAAATAAAAATAGCTATTGATACTTAACACATGTCTCTAGAGTATTTCACACAACGAATCGCACTCAAGAGGGATGATATGAATGCACAAGCAATTTTCAAGAAAATACACGTCCGGCTATTGGAGAAATGTATACAGAACGGAGGAATATACTGCACCACATGGCCCTATGAAATAATTTTGCACAATAAATTAGAAACTAAGATTTTTTTTACAAAAACAAAGTAAGAAACGTTCAGATGGCCCTGGAATCATGTAAATAATCTGTTTATAATCGGGTCTAAGTATGCTACAAAAGATAACGCAAGAAAAATTGGGTTTGGCAGAAATCTCTACAAAACTGCGATGAAAATTTTGTACACATGGCCCTAGGATTTTTTTTAACAATGAGAATCAATGCAGAACGACGAGAAAATGCATGATAGACGCGACTGGAATGAAAATTTTGTACACATGGCCCTAGGATTGTTTTCACAATGAGAATCAATTTAGAACGACCGTGCATGATAGACCCGACTGGAATCACACATGGCCCTAATTATCTAACACTTCTAGCTATTGTCAAGAAAATACACATCCAGCTATTGGAGAAATTTATCCAGAACGGACGAACGTAAGATCTCTACACTGCACCACATGTCCCTAAAATAATTGTGCATAATAAAGTAGAAAGATGTTTTTTTACAAAAACAAAGTAAGACATGTTCATATGGCTCTGGAATTCTTTTGATAATATGTCATAATAGGCCTCAGTACAAAAGATAACGCAAGAACAATTGGGTTTTGCAGAAATCTCTTCAAAAACGGCGATGAAGGTTTTGCACACACGGCCCTAGGATTTTTTTCACAATGAGAATCAATGCAGAACGACGAGAAAATGCATGATAGACGCGACTGGAATTTCAAAAGGTTTCAATGGTACACATGGCCCTAAATATCTAACATGATTTGTTACAAACGAAAAAGTATTCCGTACAAACATGACCCTTTACATCTCACACTCATTTCCATATGAATGCCCAAGCAATTGTCAAGAAAATACACATCCAGCTATTGGAGAAATTTATCCGGAACGGATGAACGTAAGATCTCTACACTGCACCACATGTCCCTAAAATAATTGTGCATAATAAAGTAGAAAGATGTTTTTACAAAACAAAGTAAGACATGTTCATATGGCCCTGGAATTCTGTTGATAATATGTCATAATAGGCCTCAGTACAAAAGATAACGCAAGAAAAATTGGGTTTTGCAGAAATCTCTACAAAAACGGCGATGAAAGTTTTGCACACATGGCCCTAGGATTTTTTCACAACGAGAATCAATGTAGAACGACGAGGAAATGCATGATAGACGCGACTGGAATTTCAAAAGGTTTCAATGTTACACATGGCCCTAATTATCTAACATGATTTGTTACAAACGAAAAAGTATTCCGTACAAACATGACCCTTTACATCTGACACTCATTGCCATATGAATGCACTTGTTAGCAATTTTCAAGCAAATACACATCCGGTTATTGGAGAAATTTATCTAGAACGGACGAACGTAACATCTCCACACTGCACCACATGTCCCTAAAAATTGTGAATAGTAAAGTAGAAAGATATTTCTTTACAAAAACAAAGTAAGATACGTCCACATGGCCCTGGAATCCTGTAAATAATCTGTTATAATCGGGCCTAAGTACAAAAGATAACGCAAGAAAAACTGAGTTTTGCAGAAATCTCTACCAAACAGCGATGAAAGTTTTGCACACATGGCCCTAGGATTTTTTTTCACAATGAGAATCAATGTAGAACGACGAGAAAATGCATGATAGACGCGACTGGAATTTCAAAAGGTTTCAATGGTACACAATGGCCCTAATTATCTAACACGATTTGTTACAAACGAAAAAAATATTCCGTACAAACATGACCCTATACATCTCACAATCAGTGTCTTTAAAAGCCAAGCAGGAGATATTATTGTGCAAGAGTAAACAAAAATAAGCAGATGTTGCAAATTGGAAGAGAAGCAGAACGATTTACTACACATGGCCCCACCATGATTTCGACATAAAAATCCTTCCTAGATAGCAGATGCTACGTGCTTTAGCAGTTTTAAGTACCTGTACCCGTGTACATAATTGTCTTTCAACTTGTACTCGTGTAACTTTTTTTTGCAATCGAACTCAAAACAAATTCTTATTTTCTTCCTATGCACAAATCGGACAAAATGATTGACAAATGATTGACAAAATTTAATGATTGACACTAACTTTGTTCGCACTCGAACTCAACACGAACTCGTAATCGTGAACGAACGATAAATATGTTGTTTTGATCAATACGTCGATATAGCATACATCGTCTTATTTTCTTCCTATACACAAATCAGACAAATGATTGACAAAATTTAATGATTGACACTACTTTGTTCGCAAACGAAATCAACACGAACTCATAATCGTGAACGAACGATGCATTTGTTGTTTTAATCCATGCAAGTCATGCAGGTCGACATCGTCTTATTTGATTCCTATACACAAATCAGACAAATGATTGACCAAATTTAATGATCGACACTAACTTTGTTCGCACTCGATCTCAACACGAACTCATTATTGTTAACGAACGATAAATATGTTGTTTGTAATATACCCACCGGTCGATATCCATCGTCTTAACGAGAAAAAAAAAAGATTGGCAATCAGTTTTGTTCCGATTTCGCCGTTCCGCTCCGACAATTTCTCCTCATTTATTTATTTTACCCTTGAGGATTTAAGCCTTTGATTTATACGTGCTATCTTTTGAAAGTCATTTTTAATCGAATCGAAAGCGCGCTACTGCTCATTTCGAATACATGATTATTTTCGGAATCGTGCATTACTGACACACAAAAACAATGGCATGCATTAATAAAAACAAATGATCTCAATTTTTTTGGCTGTTTTAATTGCACATCCAAGCGGTGGGATTTTCATTCCTTTCCCATCTGGTGCTTGGTAAGATTTGTGTCAAAATTAAGTATCGTGTGGAGAGGTTCCTTGGAAAAAAGTTGGAGAAAAAAATATCCTTAACTCTTTGTTTTCTTTAAAAAAAAAAAATCACTTGCTGGTTTTACAACTGTATTACATAAGTAATTCTATATTGAATTAATTCGTTGGCACCCATCAAGGGTGTCGTATATCTCAATAGAAGCACCCATCAAGGGTGAGGTAGTCTTTCTCTATAGTATCACCCATCAAGGGCGTCGTGTTAATCAATAGTAGCACCCATCAAGGGTGTCGTGTTAATCAATACAGTTGTAGCACCCATCAAGGGTGTCGTGTTTCTCAATAGTAGCACCCATCAAGGGTGTCGTCCTTCTCAATAGTAGCATTAAGGGTGTCGTATTTCTCAATAGTAGCACCCATCAAGGGCGAGGTTATTCTCAATATAGCACCCATCAAGGGTATAGTGTTAATCAATACAGTAGTAGCACCCATCAAGGGTGTCGTTCTTGTCAATAGTATAGCACCCATCAAGGGTGTCGTCAATAATATAGCACCCATCAAGGATGTCGTCCTTCTAAAATGTAGCACCCATCAAGAGTGTCGTCTTTCTCAATCATATACTTTAACGGCATTCCAATGGACAATATCCAACACAACAGTTTACAGAATTATGGCAAACGTTTTAAAGGAATGCATAATGAACATCTTTACACCATTAATTCTTTAAGGTAATTGCTTTGTCTTTATACAAACATAATCAGCAAACTTAATATGGTTGTGATGCGGCAAAGCTCAATGCTATTGATTTGATATTGATTTCTGTTGATATGATGACATCTCCGAGGGTCCGTCTTCATCGCTGATTCTTCAGTTTGTATTATTCAAATAAAATCCAAAACGTTACAACTTAACTTTTTCATACTTCAACTGGAGTTATTATTGCCAATGCACAAGGCATTGTCAGAATGACGTTGGTAAAAATTAATAACTTTCGTTCCCTCCCCAATTCCCAAACTTCCTAATTGTCTTGCAAGCTGCTATTTGCTCGCTTTTTGCAGTACGCTAAAGCTCCCTAAACTTTATTATTATTTTTATTTTATTACATCTGCTCTTTATTTATATTTTATTTGACTATACATAGCTAGTTTTGCCTTAATCTTTTTTGTTTAAAAAGGAAAACCTCATCGAGTTTTTTTTCTGAACTTAAGATTTAAAACTTCTGTTTTACCCTTTCATATTATTTTCCAGTTAATATGTTATTAGAAAAGCTTTTTTAATGATTTTTATTCAGTGAAAGATATGTATTCAGTTTGTTTACAATAATTATATTTTAAAGAGCTCGGTAGTAGCTATGAGTTGATAAAATCGTTTTTTCCCGCGGAAGGTAGACAACCTATCATCCGTTTTTAATGAAATAATTAACTGATCTGATATCGGGAAATATAAATATCAAGATATCGTCAACCAGTGAATAATCATCTCTGGATGACGATATCCTACAAGATATCATCAACCCGAGAAATGTTTTACTCTCTCGAGAAGATAACATCTCACCAAAAGATATAGTCAACCCGAGAAATATTATCTTTCCTCGAGAAGACGACATCTCACCTAAAAGATATCACCAATCCGTGATGAATTATCTCGAAAAGACGATATCTACCCTACAAGACATCATCCACCCGAGATATTCTTTTCTCGAGAAGATGACATCTGACCGACACGCTATCTTCAACCCGAGAAATGTTTTCTTTCTTGGGAAGAGGATATTTTACCTATACAAGATATCATCGACCAGAGAATATTTTCTCGAGAAGACAACATCTCACCCTTCAAACAAGATATCGCCAACCCGTGATGACATATTATCCCGGGAAGACGATGTCTTATTTACAAGATATCATCAACCCGGGAAATATTTTTTTCTCGGGAAGACGGCATCTCACCTACGAGATATCACCCACCCGTGAACATTTTCTCGGGAAGACGATATCATACCTACCATCATAACATAGCGAAAACTACCCCAAGGATGTCCTCCTATTTTATAAATGACGGCTGCTTATCAATCCATGTAACCTTAGAGCTCAGTAACGTGCGTCTACTTATTTCAAAAACCAACATTGATTTTAAAAAGAAATTTTCTGATATTGTTAACATTGTATTTTGTTTCCATTAGAATGCACTACCTCGATACAGATTTTTAATTGACTACAGTATATTATTTTTTTTAAGGATCAATCTACGATTTGCCCCATAATTTTTACTGTGCCTTGAAAAGGTAATTTTTGTAAGTTTGTAATTGTTTTGTTAAAAGATTTTTGAAAGTTATTTTTACACCATGGCCGTGGTTTACGCTGCTGCTGTGTGCTCGGCTGCCTACGCGCGCCATGTGCCTATACCCTCATCCACCCCGTCTTAATCCCACGCCTTAACCTGAATCCTAATCGTTCATTTAATACAATCATAACTCTGCCTTATTAAACTTCTTCCAAAAGTCGAATTTCGCTGGTCTCAATCTCAACAGCAGGTCTTCTCCAATTCTTATGAGCTTCAAATCATTCCGTCGGCTATCTCTTAAAATCTAAATTTATACAATCATAATCAAAATAATTCAGCTCTCAATATTTTTTCTTCTTCTGACCTCTTGAACTTATAGTAGCATTTATAATTGCAAGTATACCCTAAAGCTAATGGTGTAAAGGTCATTACTTTGAGCAATTTATACAAATTTGAGATCTGTGGATACATTGTCCATAAAACGATTTTGATCCATTGGAATGCCGCCCTATACTTTAAATAGTATGCTTGCATTAAATAATTTTAGGTTTAAGATAAAATCCATTAGCTCCGTTGTTAACTCCTCGAATTCATGGTGTTCAGGTTTTTCATTTCATCTTTAAATAATTAAATAAAAGCTCGAAACTATTTAGTGTTCCGGTAAGAAACCAGTAATTTTAATACAATTATAACAAAAAGACAATCCAAATTCCAAGGAACCCTCCATTCTTAACGAAAATCTAAACAAAATTGCTCCAATGTTTGAGTAAAACCCTAAAAGCCCCTGCCTTGCTGGAATGTCTTTGAAAGTGTAGCAGAGACGGTGCACCTGGCCGCATACCGCGCGCGCGGCCTTTTCAACTTTTTGACCAATAAGAATCACCGGAGTCTATGAACACGCCCACACTGCGCCGGCCACGAGATGCTCACGTGCACAAATCGCACCACTCGCTCTCGATTCGCTTTTGAAGCAATGCGTAAAATGCGCAATGCACCAAAAGGCATGTACATGTGTTGAACAAATTGGCAGGTATTCATATGCAAATTAATCTGAATCAAAAGAGCTTTCGTCCTACAGGAATGGTATTTCAACGTACAGTATTCAGCAATGCAAAAGACAAACTCAGTGTTTTGGAGACTCAAATGGACGCCATTTTGTTGACAACAAACACACAATGTATCGTGCTTATTCTACATGTAGATATATCAAAAATGAGATTCAGAGAAGAATTGCAGAATTTTATCGCACAATTTTCAAAAATGCAAAAATACAACCTCATGTACAAAATGCAATACATTACGAGTGTGTAAATAACATTTAAAATGTTTGCATTAAATGCGGTTTAAGGACCAAAGTCAAAGAGACGAATTTTTCTGGCTCCACTTTACTTAGAAGTGAGGTTTAATGAAAATGCATTCAGAGATATCTGGTGCCGAAATGCTCAAAATGCGGAATACTGAGACACTTTTTTCCTCTTTTGGTTCTGTGACCGGAGGAGAAGATAAATTTTCACTCACCTCGATAGTTCCTTATTTAAAGTTGGACTTACCCCGACGAACTCCAAAAGCTTGACTTCAGTATTATCCAAAAACGTCGTTCAGATCATTCGACAAAATATGAGTTCACACAAATTCCAGGTGTCCATTCAGTTCAGTTCAGCACAAAATGAGCATTCAAAGGAATGCAGTTGCGATGTCCAATTCATTTCTGTAAAACAAAATTAATGACAAGTTATGTAGGCCTACAGCCGAGTTCAAGTCAGTTTGGGTTACGACGACGCAACATGTCGAAATGTTGCAGTGACCCCGTACATGAGGCCGGTTTTTCTGGTCGAACTGCAAGACTCCAAGCGTCCAAATTTGATGTTTTTTTCGCGCCCTTGACGACTCCAGGGTATGATGTACAATTTTCCACGTTGGGGGGTTGAAACTGGACGGCAGACTCGGTGGTTAAATTCTCAAGTTTTGCTTGTGAAATTTGAGGCAAATTTTTGGTGACTGACCAAAAATAGCGGGAAGACAACGTGCTGCCTCCCAGTGTCCGTTGACCCCGTTCTCGGTAATTTTCCATGGCGTAATGATATGGAGGTGAAAAGTGTCATTTTTATATCGCTGGCTATTGCTCCGTACCGGGGTCCTTGCGCTGCCTTGGGGCAAAGTACTCACTGTGTATTTCTCCGCATACTAATTTTCTCCACTTGGACATATTTAAGCATCATGCCAAAAATATCAACGTGAATGGAAATTGTCAACTAAAGAAAAAGAAACAAATAGGAAGGAATAGTCTTCATTTCCAGATGGAGTAGCATCAATTTCGGGGGGAAATGCCCTATTTTTTTGTTTAAGACGGGATGACATTCGAGGCAGTATCAGTACAGTGACGTAGCATGCCACGCGTGCTCGCGTGGCTTGTCTCTCATTGGTCAGAAGCATCTTCTCGTCAATCTAGCCAGTTTAATTGGACGAAGGAGTTTCGTAAAGAAAATGAGCAGACGAACAATGCTGTACATTGGTACCGTATAGGATGACATTTTAGCCGATTTTCGGCTAGATTTGACAGACCGTTTTGACAATCTAGCAGAAAATCTAGCAAAGGAAAGTTTTAGCAGATTTCTAGCAGAACGTAAAATCGGTGATCCTAGTCGAAGTCAAAAAAATATAGCAGATTTGTTTGAACAGGCTTTAATCACTTCAAACGAACCCTTGAATAGCGGATAATAGGCAGGCCTGAGTCCTAGTAAGTGTAATAGATTCCCAAGGGCGGATCCAGGGGGGGGGCCAAAGGGGGCCATGGCCCCCCCCAAAACGAAACCAATTTTTTTTTTTTTTAATGTGACATCGCAATAAAGGCAGGCAATGAGTACACCACCATCTTTTCCTCAAAAAATTGGTTAAAGTGGTCAGAAATTGCCTCAGATCGCACCACAGAGCATCTAGAATCCAAAAAATTTTCGGGGCCCTCACGGGCCCCGAACCCCACCCCGTAATTTTTTAGACCCACTTTTTTTGGGGGCACCAAATTTTTTTTTGGCCCCCCCAAAATTG